TGTGGTCTTTCTTTGATCCCCTGTTAAGCCAAATCCAGTTACTCCGTACTGGTACGGCAACCCACTGGACAGAGCCCACACGTCGGACTTATAGTGACCGGTGCTACCAGTAAAAGTTTAGTTAGCCAGCCATGTTGCCAGGCAATCGTGTTGGCCATTATGTATCACTGGGAACATGCACTGTACTCCGTAGTTGATAGCGCTGGGCTCGAGTCAAGTCTTGTTAGACAGGAAACACTGGACAATTCTACCAAATACAATTATGCAAGGCATATATATTCACCAATCTATTTACAGCCATTTGCCAACCGAGGGCTTAAGACACGCCCCTGCTCGCCATCCTTCATTTTAACCTTGCATCCTTAGCTTCACTCCATCCCTCCATCCCGATTCAAGACGTCCAGTGTTTCGAGACAGACGATGTAGTGAATAGAGTGGCAAAATACGGATACAACTCCCAGATATCCGAAAAACCTTTCACTTGCCTGACCGTCATCGCCAAATCGAGGCAGAGATGACCGTTTGATGACCCGCTCTCCCCATTACCCATCCATGCAAGCTTTCGGACCAGACCTGTGATTGCTACCACGCCGTGCTCTTCGAATTTGATCCCAATGCCCTGGTCCCTGTCTTGTATGTCATCACCGTCTTCACTTTTTTGACAAGAACCTCTCTGTCTCGCACAAAATTTCCTGATCGCAACCCTGTACCCTCAAGAAGTGCATCTGGTCTATTTCTGGCTTGCTAACCCCCGTCCCCCCGGAAAAAAGGCAACAGAAAAATAAAAGAAAAGTCGGGGGTGCTACTCCACGCTAATAATACCTGCCAGTCGTGCCGCCAACGATTATCATCTAAGATATGTGAGCCTACCAGCAAAACTCATCCAGCCTTTCAAGTCCAACCCCTCTGGTTCTGTGATAAAATCTGGTCAACAGATCGTTTTACCAGATAAGAATTAGCGTCTCTGTCGGGTCGAACAATGAAGAGACATAGCACTGAGACAGAGGCGGCTCTCGCCCTCTGGGTGCCATTTGGGTATCACTCTTTGCAGTTTGTTGCGCCTCGAGCGTTTTGGCATTGCACCTTTATTAATATTGTTAACCTGCGTGGGCAGCTGCGACTTCAGGACGACAAGCGTATTCATTGGCAGGAAAGCCTGGCCTAACTTGTAACACACGAGTCTTGTCCGCGCCTGTGGCTTTTCGACAGTCGTATAATGGCGATGAAAATTTATACACCAACTTCGAACACCTGCATTTTACTGAATGGCCGTTGTATAAGCATGCTGAGGCACTGACACCTGCTTCGCTCTGCAGCGTTCAACGGCGTCGCTTCCAATCACAATTACAGGCCATTCAATTCCTTACCTACACCCACAGCCTTGAAGATCATTCAGAGCAAATGATCAATAAGCCCAATACAGTGCTGCAGAGTACAACAACAGACTACAACACGTCAAGAACAGGGGCAGAAACAGGCAACCAACCGGCTTCAGTCCCTGGTCATGTGGAGGAGTTCTGCCAGGGCTCCGGTCATGTCCCTGCACAAACATGACAGACCCCAGCACCTGTTCCCCCATTGCAGGGCTTCGAGGGCTTTGGCATTGTGCGACAGGAAAGGGTGGCAATCCTGGGGGAATAGTCACAACTTGCAGCTCGACGGTTGATACGCTTCCCACTCCTTCTCGGGCCGTAAGATCAGACAGAGAGCAGGCTAAATTGACTCAGAACCAGCCGGAATCCGTGACTTTACATACGAAGTAAGACCTACTTGTCTATCATCGCCTTGTAGATTCACGAGTCGGCAGAAGCAGCAAAAAAAAAAAAACACTGGGTCATCCACAGCGCATACTGCACCCATCTTGCGCATTTCTCCCCATGCAGCTGTACTCACCTCCAAGAAGCACATCGTCAGTTCCCAGACCAGAGACCGTATTCATTTGATGATGACACTCGCCGACCGCTTTATTCCCAGCACGGGAATCCACTGCGGCTTTGTCTCCATGGAACGTTTCCTCGTCTGCTCCGTGGTCCTCTTTCGATGAGCCCGCCTAATTTTGTCATGTTGTGGCCCACCTTGCAGCACCCCCCGTTACCGCTCCCGAATGACCTTGTCAATAGCACCCATCTTTGAGGCTTTCGTGGACTGGGGACATCAATCACATTGGGCCCAGCCCAGAAAAAACACGTAGTATCTTTTGGGCAGAGCACATGGGCCAGCAAATGGGACGGCGCGTGGCCACATGGGTGGTGGATTTGAATGAGGGATGGTCGCTCAGCACGTTGTCGCCGAATGTCCGAAACAATTTCCGTCTGTTATTCTTGTTGAAAGAGCAATAAAGTATATTAAAGGCGCACTGCGACCATCTCGAAATCATAATGGGTTGGTCGGCGAGCGCAGATTTGAGTTGGCCCTGCGCCCTACCTACCTACCGCCGTGCAAGCTCCCTTACTGGGCGCAAATAAGTAATGGCTGTTGAGCGCGGCCGACTACTTGGCTGCCATCTCCACCGAAGCATCACTGTCTATGGCTGATGGTAAACAATGCGAAAGTACACCATAGTTTGGTTTGGTTTGATAACGGTCACACAGTTGGCGCAAACGAGGCTGCAGCACACATCGCGAACACGGACCCGCCCAGGCCTGGAAATCAAGGTCCCTACTCAGATACTTGTCGATGACTTAGCGGTGTCGTTAAAGACCGTTATCCAGCGGTCGGAATCTTTTCACAGCCGCCGCCGCCAGCAACGAAAAGTAAATGTCATATATCTATAGCATTATTTATTTCTTAAAGCCCTTGATCTCTATAAAGATCTAGCAGTGGTTTCCTGGCTATGTAGGCGCTTGATAAATGTGACTGTCGACTTGCCCTGCATACAATCTCCACGCCGGCATTTTTCAGCTGGGCAGGGGTTATTGGCATGCAGATGCACACTGCTCATTGTGCTTTATACTGCAACGCAAATACGCAATGGCAATGCTACGTCGAGTCCTGAGCGCGTTTCTCTACTCCATGCCTACCGCCCAAGCGTGGCAGGCAATGCAATACGATATTTAGCTTGGTATACTGGCTTCATTGGCCTGTACTCTTGCCCCCCCTAGCTATTATGACCCGATCATAGGCTTCCTATGGCGGCACTCATTGACAAGCTGTTATTGAAAGCTCAGAATATCTCCCATGAGCTTGGTGTCTCGTATTCGTGCTTTTTAGCCGATGTCTACCTTTACAGTGGAATTGTACTCCTGGGCCGACTGCAGGATGGCCGACTGCATCCTGCATGCTTGATCCCCCGTTCAACCCTCAGGACACTCGTACATACCCTCATGCTGGCGTGCTCTTGTTACACTTTTCGAGCGCCCTGTACTTGTCATGACTCGGTACACTTGCTTCAAGATGGCGGCGGCGCACATCTGATGACCTGAAGATGCTGGGCTTGACCAGAGAGTGTTCCATCTCCCACCAGTTCCTCGATGGACCACGCAACGGCAAAGTATTAATTCTTCTTGTGAATTCCTTCCCTCAGCTTCCTCGAGGTATTTATTCTAATAGGGTTGAGTTCAACAATGTAGACGATTTAAACTGATCTGAAGTCCTTGCAGCTCATCACTTCTATACCAATGCTTCCCGCATGCGGTATGGTTGTACCAAGCAATACCATTCATTGCCTCTTCGTTGGCTATATAATAGATGAACAAGTTACGGACGGACTATACAACTAATGATTTGTTTGGCCTGTCCAATTGCATGTGGCTGGTGTTTGCGTGCTGCCCGTTCGCCTCATGATCCCTTGCCCTTTAGTCATCATTGCGTGATTGTTTGTACACGGTAGTAAACACAAGAACGCCTCCTTGCTAGCTCGAATCTCAAAACTGTCTCTATGAAATAGCCATTACTCTATCATCGTTAGCCAAGATGATATTGGGCCTACCCTAGAGCAGATGAAATCGAGGGTTATACTCCGACAGGCGATTACTGAAAGTGGTCAAGGGGACGTAAGTTAGCAGTAGTATTCTTGTATTGATAGAGCCCAGCGCGAGCCTGATGTCCAGAGGGACATGGAGAGCACGTATTCATGAATTAGGTTGCAGGTTGTTACTTCAACAGGGTCAGCATGAGGTATAGTCAAGCTTCTCCGAACTTCTATTATTGCTGAGTTGGTACATTTTACACATACTAAAGTAATATATATATGCCATGATAGTTATGCATATTGAGAATCGGTCCTTCAGCTAGACTATATGTAGCTTTGTGTGTTTCCAGCACGGGGTGTAGGCTCTGTGAGGGCGATTGACTGTTGGGAGGACGCATGCAAGAAACGGCGACCACGACGTCGCTGTGGCCTGTCTGAGCTTATTTGCTAGTTTTGCTCGCCAGAATCCTCTGAGGCTGACCAGTAGATGACAAAATTACGCACAATAATTGTCAAGCTCAATCCGAGGCAGCCAAGTATACATGTGGCACGGCCAGAATTGTAATCCTCGACCCGCTCACTGATGAGGACGGCATCGCCCGTTTTGCACGAGAGACTTGACCTTGATCTCAGCATATACGCCAATCAGTGACTATGTGGACTGTATTTCTACTTGAGCACCGTCCTGACACCAGCCAAGGCTCGGGTACTATTGACAGCCAAAGCATGCACGGCAATGAGAGCGTCTGGAGGGGTCGTCCGCCTACTATATATTATGAGCTTTATGTTGCCTACAGAATGCTAAGCCTATGAGAAACAAATGGCGTAAGAAAAAGGAAAGAATTCTAAATGTAAAAGTCTCCACACCCGTCCTTTTCCTTGCGCAATGTCGCCTGTGTAGTAATCAGTGGTCCTTGTGTCTGTACAGCTCCGTGCTGCGTTCATTATGCATCGACGGAAACTCTGCCCTCGTCCAAAGTATTTGTCCTGAAATCTTCCCTCTTAGGAATCGTGGAATATATGCTCTCAAGTCTCGCATCTCCGTTGGAACCGAGGATGATGGGCTGCGGGCTCGTGTCGTCGCTACAGCTCAAGCGCTCGTGCTAAAGTAGTAATTCTCCCAAAGATACTCGTAGTCCTCCAAGATGCCCCCTATGAAACTGGGCATACGCCTTGAAACACCCATCACCATACCTTTGGTCACGTTCTCGTAGAAAGCACCGCGCATACTCCACCACAGCATCGACCAGCCGCGCTTGTTCCACTCGTCGCGCTCCAGCGGCGTTGTGCGCAGGCTGGTGCCGTTGCTCGTGTCGCGCAGCTGTCGCGCAGCGTATTCCACTGCGAGACCAATCATCCACGGCGTCCATGAGCGCTTATTCTTGGTGAGCATCAGCGCGACAACGTAGGCGAGCGGCGCGAGGATGTGTAGGACTTCGGCGGCGTGGCCGATGCCGCGCAGCTGGTTGAGAAGCTTTGTCGCGGGCCGAATGTCATCGGCGGTGAGCACCCGCGAGAGGAGATATGAGCTGATATCGCCAGATTCTGGCAGAGACGGCAGGCTCATGCCTGTTCGAGGCATGGTCCATTCGCGCCCGACGGGTGCATTCGTCATTTGCTGTGTGTCCTGCGACGCCATCAAGTTGCCGTTGATACTGCCGCCATCCTCTAGCGCGAATTCGCTCTCGCTTCCTAGCGCTAGATCCTGCGGCTTGTTCTGTTCCTCGTCGATTTCGTCCGGGATGGGTTCGCGCTCCGGTAGCGGTGGCGTGACGATTTGGCGCGTGCGGGTGATGCGAAGTAACAGCAGCCGGCAGAAGGCTTTGATGCCCTCGAGCAACAGCACGACGCGCCACCGAGACTTTTCACCGCCGCGACGCTTGGCCGACATTTCCCACAGGAGCTCGGTGTAGATGACCATTTGTAGGAGCATGGCCACGCGCCGGTAAAGGGCGCTCTTTTCAGCCCAGAATCGCGTGTACCGGGCATGTGCAGTGCGGACCGGGGGAACAGGCAGTTTTGACACGGCTTTCCCGAGGATATTGTCGTGGTATAGGCTCAGGAGCTGCACGCCAGAATGGATCGATTCGGAGGCAATCTCGGCATCGCGGAATCGGCCTGGGCGCAAACTGTCAGAGGTGGGTGCATAAATGCGAACTGCAGGCAGAGGGACAAACCAGGTATGATATATGTTAAACTACGTAGAGCGCTTTCGATTTGCGAAACTTGGCTGGCGTTTTTGGTGATGAATTCTTCGTAGGACGAGAGCCACTGCGGTGGCATAGCGAGGATCTGGCCAACCGCTGACGCTGGACGCTTGGGCAGCGTCGACTGCGCCGGCATTGTGAGCAGACAGTCACGATGTCGCTTTGCTAGTTTGATGGCAGGCAGAGTATTGTATCCGACGCGCTGTTGTGTCCCAGGAGCTGCGACAGATCATGGTATGGTGACTCGGCAATGCCATCCAGAGGGGCTATTGAGTGAGTTAACGCAGCTAGAGCCGTGTAGCGCGCGCCATCGGTAGCAGCTTGTTGCCGAGGCACATGTGGCCCAGTCAGCGTCAAATGTGGTGTCGACCCACCCATTTTATCATTAAATCGACATCTGATTAGCGTGTTATAAAGAAAATAAATAATACTTTATAATACCGATTCTTAATAACTAACTCAATTTCAGATAGAATTATATTATTATATATTATATTAAAATAATCTTTAGTATATTATTATAGATACTCTCTATCTAGCAGAAAGTTTATATCATGTTAAGCGTAATGCATCCAGCTTCTTGATCTATCTCTATATATTAGTAAGGCTAAAGTCTTCTAAAGGTTATATGCCTTATATTTCGATAGTACTAGCCTTTACGGTTGGCTGAAGGAAGTAGCCTTGAGCATGCGAGCAAATCTAAAACCGTAAAAACTGCATCAAATACAGTAATGGGATCGAACCCCTTACCTGTGATCCAGCGACCAGTGCGAAATCCGTGCCACAAGTTCAAAAATGCTTGAGAAAAGTTGCCAATTACAAGCACCAGTAGAGCCGTCCTATCAACGGTGTCGTCATCTTCTTTCGAAATCGCAGAAAACTGTTTTGACTTATAGATCGTGTATGCTTCATTAATTTCTTAACTAGTCTAGCTCAATTACATCCGTGGTAAACTCACACATATTTGCATTCTTTATGCTCGTTGTAGTAAAGTCAATAATATACACACCCTTTTTCTAATTTTCTGACTTAGCTTTCAAATCCGAACCCAACCCTACCAGGCTTTAGATGATCTCCATCCCCATGATGATCCTCGACCAATACACCGAGCATGATCTTCGTATCCAGAACATCTTTCGGCATTGGGACCGCTCCCAATGAGCAACTAACAACAAGAACATCCAGGGAAGAATTTCTTGTTGTCGCAAGTATAGTCGAGAAGCTGAAATCATGACCAACGCCGTTGGAGAAGAGAGCCACGAAACCTGCAACAATACTGGCGAGGCTTAAACAGAGAGCACAGGTTGTGGGCGTTGCATGCGTAAATGTTGATTTGACGGTCAAAAGTAACGTCTGTTTTGTAATATCCACTCTCATTCGTCCTTGCATCTAAGTCAGTTCTTCATGTTCAGAAGGCTTCGAATAAAACATACTATAATTGCGTGCTACTGAATAGGCTCAAAGTAATGTTCCTTGATAGCTCTTCTGCCAGCCTACCACTCGTTCGCAATGCATATACGCATTTTCTGCATACCACGGAAAGACACAAAGAAATTCTGAAGGTCCGATGCAATGGCCTCACGAAACATTTCTGTAGACGCCTGAAGCTGTCCCAGTTCCAACTTCGCGACATGCTAGACTACGTCTAGTCTCTTTAAAGAGCACAGGGATCGAAGCATCAAACAAGGCGGCCCAATCTCTCTGAAGCTTGAATATAGAAAAAGCAAAAAGGGTTACAGCAATCTCTAACCATGTATATTCGCAGTAGCGCTGCCTCGGAATTCCATCTACAGGCTATATAGGCTTGCTGCGTCGTCTCGTACCTTGGCGAGTACCGGAAATTCACTATAAAGTAGCCACATTAATTCACTATACTGAAACCTAATCAGGTTATTTTGAGGTTAAAGTAAAAGACTTTGACTTGATAAAACAGAAGTCAATAGTGATCTAGGCGTAAACATAGAAAGCTCTAGAAAGAAGAAATCCTATAGTCGCCCGTGAAGGATCCGTCGAATTTAACACTAATATCGAGGTGGACCCAAAACTCGTTTTCATTCTTAAGGTAGAGATTGATATTGCCCTTGGCGAGAAAAAAGTCAACATTTATTACGACTCTGTCTTTTAGGTCTCCATGAATAGGGCCAATGCTGATTCCTAGGACGCTGACAGTGAGACCAGTCTCCCATTTGTCCGTGTCGACATAACCGCTAATCTAGCCGCAGTTTAGTGTAGGACTCCATAGGTTCGTTTTAATTAAATCATACTCTGATGGGACCAAAGGCCCAGTCAATCTCGCGGCGGCCACGTCCGTCGGTAGGAGGCTGATCACGAGCAAGATCGACCTGCTTGGCCACCCAGACGTTGTCACTCGACCATGGGGCGGAGAGATGCACAAGAGCACCTATTTGCAGGTACTGTCAGCTAACTATGATCAGAGTCAAGGTCAAATATAAGACAAGACTTGCCAGCTTTCTCATTAGCGCTCTCCATTACGCAAGAAAAAGATGATAAAAGGGAAAGAGTTGATATAGGTTCTTAAATATAGTACCGTAGTTTGAAGGGTTAGGGTTAGCATAGAGAAGACCCAAACCTTTTTATAGGTATCTTACACTAGGACTCGTTAAGGATGCGGAACTATACCTAAGGCTTTTAGCCGATCTTAACCTGTCTAGATAAACGGTATCTAGTACGTCTACTCTACTATCTACTAGGAACGGGATTAGAATGTAGGTTGAACTTAAAACCTTAGGTATATAGTAGCCTACTATACTATCAGAACCTGTAGCTATCTAGCGGACGCTAAAAGTTTAGGAGCCGTTGGGCATCTGCTATTTTAACGTTACGCAAACGGATTTTCAATTATATTTTCATATATATTAATATAACCTACCTCCGATCAAAATAAGGCTTATTACCTTAGTATATACTATAACTAAAAACGTATAATTTATTCATTAATAATTAACTAAATACCATCTACTATAATACTTAATAGTTCTATTACTACTATACCAATTAACATTACTATAAAACTCTATTATATCTCTATACTATTATTATTATAGTTTACTAAGGTTATATATAAATATATAGCTAAAGAAAGATAAAAATATAATAAAAACTATTAAAGAAAAACTTCTTTTTTTAATTATTTATAAATATATTATTTAATAATATTATGATAATTAATATTTATAAAGGTTATTTTTTAATTAAAATAATAATAATTATTAATATAACTATTATTAAAGTTTAATAAAATTATTATAATATTATATTAAAAAACTAATAAATTTAAGTTAAATTAAGTTAATAAGTTATACGTCTTTATAAAGTTAAGTTATATATATAGATAAAGTTAATAGCTAGTAAGGCAAGGCAACGGCCGGCAAGGTAAGGCAAAGCAGCCATATGCACATATCCATCACATCTATATCTACCACACACCACAGCCCTTCAGCCTGAGTGGATTTCGTGATTCTGGCGGGTAGTACTCAGCCAAAGCTAAATGGAACCGCTGCCACGCTCTACCGCAGGCCTAACGCCGACGATGCCTCCTTCGCGCATGCTGAGCTCCGTGATGGCGACAAGAAAATAGGTCTGGCAATGGGAGATTCAGCGCAACTGAGTGCGGCCTCGGCACCAAAAAGATATGCCTTGCCGACAGACTGGGATCAGCACAAAGAGACGATTCGCCGGCTATACCTGGATGAGAACGAGCCTCTGAAGGAAGTCATGGCTATTATGGGCCGAGACTATGGACATTTCGGCAGGTATGTTCTGGAACAATCTTCCTCCTTATTTTGGCCGGTCTTTAATAGTCGCCCAGCATCAAGCAGTATAAAAACAAACTTCGAGAGTGGGGTTTCGACACAAAGTACAAGAGACAGCAGCCCTCTCAGAAGAGAAAATACAAGCGTCCCAGTCGTCAATCTGTGGATGCCATCCGCGCCGTCGACTATCTTTCCAACGCTCCCAGTGTTGAAGATGACGACGACCGGGCTTGCCAAGCTGCTTTTGCACAGGGCACCAGTACCCTGAGCGCTACGCGCCAGGTTTCGACAGACTTTAACGAGGGCCGGCAGGCGTCTCACCGTCACAGAACCTACCGTGCCTCATCTTGCGCTGTTGGAATACAAGTCGGTCGGTCAGCCACGCCGCCAATGTCACTTCCGGAACGCATCTTTTCGTTGGCGCAGCAACACATTGAGACATCTTTCACCTACGAAGTTTGGAAGGTGGTTGATGGTAACGTCCAGACGATCACGGCACGTACCAAAGAAGAGTTGGAATTGCCTGAGAGTGATTTCGATCTGGTACGCTCCGCCGTCCTGTTATTCGAGCAGGGGTCGACAGTCGACGGCTGCCATGTCCTGTCCAAAGCATTCGCTCTGGTCAGACCCATACTCAAGAATGGAAATGTTCGTGCCCTCAACTTCTTCTGGAGCTCCCTGGTATTCCTCGTTCAATCTAACCGCACAGATATCCTTGTCCATCTTATCAGCTATATCTATGAAATGGCCACCATTCTGCTCCAGCGTGGGCATCCCGTTGCACAAATGTTCAAGCTTCTTACACAGATTGATGTACTAGAGCTAGAACATGTTGTGCACAACGCGTGGCAGATGACGACGGATGCTTTTCAAAAGCAACTGCCGAACCTTCATCCGGAGTACGTGCGCCACCAGTGCGACCTCATCTTCCGCATATACGGCAAGAGGGACGCCCTTACCGCGGAGCGGCGCCTCTGCCAGCTTCTCAAGAACTGCGAGGATACGGCGCAGACGCTAGAAATCAGTCACCTGACAGTCCTGAATGCCCTCGGTTACAACTTCATGAATTCCAAAGACTGGGTGAAAGCCGTCAACATCGGCCAGAAACTTGAAGAGCGTGCTCAACTTGCGCAGGATATTGATCTGCTTGTATACCAAATTGGAGGCATGGAGATCCAGGCGCGGGCCTTTAATGAGCTGAAATTGACCATGCCAGCCGTGAAATGCCTGAAGCAAGCGACCCGATTGATTGCGGATGAATGGGGCAAGACGGATCCGTGGCGCATAGAGCTCATGGCTCTTCAGCAGCTTTACCTTCGAGAGGGCGGCGAAATCAAGGAAGCAGCTGACTTGCAAGCAGAGATAAGCAGAATTACTGAAAGAATCGACGCAGATTGGGATGCGCAGAACTAAACCATTGTATCCGGGTTGACTTGATGATGAAAAATAGTTGTGTGCTAATGAAATTGTAATTTTATAAATTTCACTATCCCCGTACTCTCTAGACGCTTGGGCTGTTGCAGCCGTAGCATGTAGATACTGGAGCATCCGTGGTGAAGGCTGCAGGGCTATTAGCCGGCACCTAGGTACTGGCGGCACAACCAGTAGCATCGCGAAAGGTATCAACGCTTTGGAGCCACGAAAATGTGGCCCAAAGTTCCCTCCGTTTCCTAAAATTCATTTGGTGACGTCGTATTGCCGAGTTAGGCGAAGTTCTGGCCGGTAAAAAAAGCACCTGTAAAAAATGTGGACGAAACGGAAGTTCTGTCAGGGTACTGTGGGTAAATACTGCCACTGTATCCGTAGCTACACCGTGCTTGGCTCCACGTATCAAGCGCTTACACCCACTGTAGCACCTACTGGCTCGGCACAAGGGCCATGCTGTCGCGAAATCTGACATGCAAGATTCATGCAGGGAACTTTCCACAGCGTCATGACAAGCAGGCAGGTGTAGCCAGTCCGATCGCACATCCACCAGGTACCACACCCATTTATGCAGGTGCACAACAAATCACTTGAAAAGGAGAGAAGGAACGGGAACTTTCTAAAAGAGACCCTATGTGGGGAACCATTTGGTCAAAGTTGACTAAGAGGTCGGGCTGCTCAGGCCGGGGTTGCGAACCAGATAAATTGTTTGCCTTGCATGTTCGGCGAGCATGTATGTAGGGAACTTTGGAGCACCGTCATAATGGCAGGAGAAGTTGGGGGCGTCGGGCTGAGTAATGGTGGTGGCGGTGGTGAATTCCAGGCGAACCTGCTGCGCTGTAGTCTGTTGACAACAGGAGCGGCAGCAGCGGCAGCGAAATCGGCGCAGCCAACAAGATGTTGCTGTACAAAGTTCCCCGCTATGTATGGTTTTGCCTTTAAGACAACCGAATGGGAGCCTCTGCAAAGTCCCTGCCTGCATATCGGGCGCACGGGATTTGCAGGGACGTGGCCTTGTGAGTCAGATAGGTAGCGATCAACTCTTGGAGAGCCACGAAAGCAATGACGAACCAATCCTACGCGGTCAAAGTTCCTAACGGCGACCGCGTAGGCGCGGTGCCAAAATTCTTCAACCTGGTGCGTGGTGCGACTTTCCATGGCGTTGGGATTAGGACATGCTCGTTAGAAGTATCGACCGGATACCATCCTGTGCTCTATTTAATGGACTTTCTGCGGCATCCACTTCACGAAACTTGTTCAGATTGGCATCACACTCTACAGTCATCACACTTTACACTCAGCCACGAACAAACGCCTGCAATCATGACGTCCACACAGCAGGATCATGTCGTCCTTCTCGTCGACGACGCCGTCTTTGAAAACCTACCTTCTTGGGTTACCGACAACTTCACCGTTACACCTGGAGGTTACCACGACGGCCAGTCTTCTCGCAACAAGCTGGTACTCTTCGCTGATGGCAGCTACCTAGAGTTCTTCAATTGGTATGGCACACCACCGTCTTTGGACGATGTCCACTTGCCGATGAGATTCTGGGGACCCAAAACCCCAGGACTGATCGACTTTGCAGTCACCGACACAACCCACTCTGCCGAGGAATCGGTCAGCATGGTTAACCAACGCTTGTCGGAGGAGCCGGACAAGGATCCTGCCGGTCTTGGTGTCAAGTTCGGCAACCCCGTTGCGGGATCACGCAAGAAGGCCAATGGTGTGGAGATTGCGTGGACCGTCACACGTCCAGAGTTCTCCGAGGGTGACAAGACGCCCGCTGAAAAGCTCTTCGTTAACGGCAGAATCGACGTTCCATTCTTCTGCCACGACGTCACCCCGCGAGCCGACAGGGTTCCAAGCCACGAGGAGGATAAGACGACGCATCCCTGCGGCGCCACTGGCATCGCAGCCTGCGAGATTCTCGTGCCCAGCCACCTACGCGCCGAATACGCCGCCGTCTATGCAAAGGTCCTCGGCTCCAAGCTCGAGCCTGCTGACGGCCAAGGCGCGCATACCCTCGACATTGGCGTCCCTCAGGGACCTACCCGTTCTGCGGTGGTGGTGCGTGCTGCCCAGACTGAACATGATATCAGACGCATGCAGGAAAGAGGGATTGGCTTCTCCGATCTTGTCATTGCCGTCAAGTCCGATGGCCCTGGCAGCGGGGCGAGGCGCCCATTGGGCTCCACGGGCATCGAGTCCACGATCTGGCTGGAGAAGACGGAGTGAAATCAGTGAAATATTGCCGTCAATCCAGTGGTGGATATAACCCGTTGTGAGCTGCAAGTAGTGGGATGATCATGTTACTGGCGAGTATTTATAAGGACCACTCCAGATGCAAGAATGTTTATTAGTCGCTAGGAATGAGTGAAACTCATATATTTCAATCATGTTAGCCTGCGTAATTGCCCTTGTGCCGATTGGGTGTTGCTGCATGGCTCGGTACGCGAGTGTGATTGATATTGGGTAGCTATGATAGAGCGGTCCGAAGCGACGACAAAGCGACAGTTGACAACACTCCTCTCTGTCGTCGAACGCGGACCGTGACTTCTGTAGGTATATAGTACGCTGCATAGCTGCCAACAACTTGACCAAAAATACGAATCCGTACCTGGTCATAGTGTATAGTGGTTTATATGCCAACTCAACAAAGGGCGGCTGGAACAGTCTATGAATAAAGAAGAAGAAGAAGAAGAGCATAGCCTGATATTCGTAAGCTAAAATGCACTAGTATACGCCATGCAGTTCTGCTGAAGCAGGCTGGCTGAGACGGAGCAATTGAGGTTAAGCTGCTAAAGGAATGGGAATGCCCTAATACCGAGGCTCATGACATCAACAGGCAAATACTCAAAGCTAGCTTCAATCTGGCCTACCTCCAGGTTGTAAAACGCTTCTGTCGCCACGTCGAGATTTTGATGGTGGACACTCTGCAAAAAAGCCAACTTAGCCTTAACATCTTGTTGAGTGAGGAATGTCGTAGGGAAGAAACGCCGAATACAGAAATTGGACTTCGCAGTGCTACGGTTGGTGATTAATCTAACGCGGTGCTGAGATGAGCCTCGCAGACAAGAATAGCGCAGTGCAGAGCGGGCATAGATCGAGTGAGTATAGCCAAGGAAACAACCAACTTTTTGAGTGAGAGAGCCGGGACTGCAGAGGCCTTACGCGTGGAAACTGCCGGCAGCGTATTCTTCTTTTCCCTCTCCAATGCCGTAATATCGCACGAACGGCCGAGAAGCCACTGCTGAGCAGCGATGCTTCTCCGGGACCAGTGGACCACCTGGCTACACGGACCCCTCGAGGAGGCTTTCCACCAGGAACAGAAGGCGGCACTTACCGACATGCGCTTCCACAAAGAGCGTGAATCTGGTCTCTAGGGAGATGCAAGGGAGCTAAAAGTTTTTTGAGGAAACTTGACATAAAAATCCTCTTGTTCGCGGGCATCAAAACAGATCAATGTGTACTTTCGACAATACAAGATGCGTATGAGAAAGCATTTGATACTGTATTACTCAGAGATGGTTGTGATACCAAGAGCCCGGAATATGCAAAACAGATTTGTATACCATTCTTCTCTATACCCTAAAGAGTAGCTTAGTTAAATTCTTTTTTATTAAATAGTTGGACTAATGATAGATTTTCTGTTGAGTGGAGAGTCATTCTTGATGCCTTGGTCAAAAGATGTGTCTTCATCATTATTCCAAGACATTATTTGTAAGGCGTGCAACATTGGCACGTTTGCGAAGCAGACTTCGCCGCCATGTGCTGTATTGACCCATGCGCGCCTACATTTCGGCGGGAAAGACAGCGTGATCCCATTTCTCGGCTCTCTCCAGTAGCCAAGAGTCCAAGCCACGTCCCGCCGTGCCCAAGTATACCTTTGTAAACTTGGCTGATGACCAATAGCGGAATTCTGTCTTGGCTGGTATGAAAACAACGTCCCCTCCAGCCAACGTCGTATTGGTACCATTGAGACTCACGGTAAATAGCCCCTCGAGAACCTGAAATGCTTGCGAATCCAGGAACTTGAGCAATTTTACATCGTCGTGCGGGAGTCTTTGCCTGAGTGTGATTGTGGCAAGCGTCATGTTCCCGTCGCTTTTGGCCCTCGTTGCGAGCGGCTGGACTATCTGGCCCAGAGATCGCTCCAGGTACTTAGGACCCCAGTTGTTTGCAATATAGTAAGATCGCGGTTTCCCCAAGAGTGCATTCGAGCTCTGATGCCAGGATGTCTGCCCATCTTCCGTTGTGGCATTAGTCAAGTCGTAGTTCAAGAAGTATCCCTCGTCTATGTTAACGTCGAATCGCGAGGCTTCGCCGTTGAATTTGTCGTCTGGAAACGGCCGCGGTGCGTCAGGAGAGAAAGACGATCCTGATGTCGAGTTCCAGCTTTCACCGACCGTCATGAAGAACCTGTCTAGCCCCGCCGGGGCGATGAAGGCAGCCAGATGCGTGTCTGGCTCGAGGAGTTGAAAGCTGTGAAACGTTGTCGGCGGAGCGGCGCCAAAGTCTCCGGCGATCAGCTCGCGCCCCGCGTTATTTTCCCACGCTCGCACCCTGCCCTTGACACAGAAGAAGGTCTCGAAAAAACGTGTATGATAGTGTGTGGCAATGCGGGGACCGCCACTGCCATAGATGCTCAGCAGCGAAAGCTTCGAGTCGGACGATGCTCCGGTGACGAGCAGGCGAAAAATGGTCGCGCCTACCGCGACCGTGGTGCCGGTGAGATGCCGAAGAACATACGGACGCACATGGTCCGGCATCTCTGTGACGACCAGTGGATTTTCGCTGTCCGGAATGGCGCCGGCATACAACGGATCGGATTCACGACAAGGCGAGGACAACACCTTCTGACTGCACGCAGTGCGGCCGTCAGCGCCCCATAATGAAAGAGCACTCAGTGCGAAGAGGTTCTGTAGCTTCATCTTAGTCGGTGTTAGCTGGTAAGTTCTTGTCGGTTGTGCTAGAGATTTTCATCACATCTAGCGCTGCTTCTAGCTTCTTTATATAGCAATCGACAGGCATCTTGCTACGATTCAGCATGCTGACGCAGGTTCTACCATGTTGCTTTCGATATGGCCAATTAGGACGTGCAAGTGCTTGGAAGGTGATTTTTTAGGCGATTGTTCCGACAGAAGTTGTGAATGACTTCCCGGAAAGGAAATCTACATATAGCGCGGGTCTGGAAGGCTGGCGTGATCACCCACCGAAATAGTTATCTGCCGTCGTCACCTATCCACACATCAATACTGATGCATGGGATGCAAAATCAATGTCCGAATTATTGCAGGGATACTGAAGGTTTCGCCGCTAGAGACGAAAATTAGACAAAGTGTGAGTCACAAGTATCCAGGACAAGGAGAAGGAGACTTATGCTGTGCCGGCCAGGCCCTTTGCTATATAGCGGTTAACATCGTCTAGCCATTCCAGTGTCTCTGCACAGTTCGAGTTTTATACATCCCGTAGAACTAATTTTGGTGTTCGCATGCTTATGTGACACTCTCTGGCTTGCGTGCTCGATGATGGCAATGATTGCTCAATCGAGCTGCAACACCGCTGATGCCGTGGTGGTGGACTATCTTTGTATATTTGACAGAATGCTACTGCCTGATACGAGCTCCTATCGTGTCAATCATGCAATGAATGTAATATCGTCGTCCGCAATTAACTCTGCACGTAAATGTGAACTTCGTGTACGCTACATGTTCGGGCCTCATTCTCTTTGTCCACAGACGTCGACAAGACAATATCCTGACGGCTCATGTTGGCGGAAACTGATGTGAATTTTGCCATAACAGTCACGTACTTTTGGCAGATCATGCTAGCGAAATAGCAACTTAAACTCTATTCTTTGTTGCTTTGGAACTCGGGCATGGAGCTTGCTTCTAAATTGTCCAACGGTAAGGTTGTTCTGCCCTCTTCCGGCGGTCATGTCTTAAAGGACCGATTCAGTGGACCATGCTTACCAACAATAATATCTAAGCCCTCGTGTCGGTTTGTACTATATTGCATCAAGTATGGCCTGCTGTGGCAATAATCACCCTTGTATGGCGGTCTCGGTGACCATGATATGTTGCTCGCAAACTCGTACGCCTCGGGCGTTGCGCTAGTTGCCAGTGCGGAGACTGGTTTCATACCACCCACGGGCATGACTTGTGCTGTACGAGCGCGTGGAGCACTTGTAGCGCTGGACGCAGTTGCTATATGAATGGCCAGTCGAGCGCGGCGCCTTTGGCTACATGAAGTTTCTTGTGGCGAAAGTAGCCTATCAGCAGGTCAGCTGCGACCGTGAGCACAGACAACTGACACGCCGGGATCCGCGTGCGTTGCGCTTGAAATGGCCAAATAGCCGCTACCTTGATGGAACTGACGAAAGTTGCTGCCATTATGGCCAATGACCTATTCTCGGCCGACGGGGCGGTCTTTGTGGGTGAGCAGCCAGCTCGCAACATGCAAACTATAAATTGGTCATGAAACCACGGTTATTCATTTGGGGGTCTTTTCTCATCAGGCAAACAGTATCTATCGCACTCATCAACAGACATCAAAAAGAGAAACTCAATAAATTTGAACCAAGACTACAAGCCAAAATGCCGACGCAGGAAGAAAAGAAGAATCTGGAAGTCGTTGCGAAATATTTCGCCGAGTACTGGGGCAAGGCCAACCAGAACATCGTCGATGAGCTCTGCGACGACAAGTTCGTCATCAATTATCCTATGCATGGCCCGAGGTATGGCAAGGAGGGCGCAAAAAGGATGATGGCAGAATTCAAAGACGTGAGTTGAGAACAGTACGAAGCCATGGCGAGGGTTTTTCAGAGCTAACAAAGTATCGATCAAAGGCATTCCCAGACATTTCCTTTCATGCTTACCAGCATCCACTGATTGCTAGCGGGCCCTACGTCGTGGGCCGCTGGATCGGCGGGGGAACGCACACGGGAGTTGCCTTTTCGGATCTGGCCGTCGGATGCTTGGACAAGCCCAAGACAGGGAAGAAGATGTACTTTTCCGGCACCACCATCTTTACGCTAAAGGATGGCAAAATTATTGACGAAACCGGCGAGGAAGGAACCATAACTGCAATGCAGAACCTGGGGATGGTGGCTCAGCCGAACCCAGGCAAGGAAGTGCAGTATCTACATGACCATTGACCGGGTTGCAGTCATGTGAACCGAAACATTTCGATTATGTACTACTGGGGTGAGCCAAATTAGCTTTTAGGCGTTATTTAGAATAAATACGTGTCGACTTTATTAGTCGTTCGATACAATAAACAAGTCAAGCCCACGGAAGCTAGCTCCTGATTCCGTACATCTGTGTAAAATCTAGGTACCGACGACACCTACAACCCTACTGTATTTTTAGGTATACCCCCCACTGTTTACCGCCTGCCCTTCCTTGACCCTGTAGTGCACCACCTATTATAGGTACCTAAGATGGCTGGACCTAACCCGCTATGTTGGGCCCTGTGGAGGCCCCCACAGAACCTAGAGAATACAGCATCATGACCTCCTCTCTCTTCCCTGACACGCTAGGCTTGTTCAGTGTGAGCAGAAATTCCACTGCATAAAAAGCAAAGTATTATTGATTTTCTTGCACAGCTGAAGACGGCAGGCCAGAATTATATGCTAATGAGGAGCGCAGGCATCTGAGTCAACATACGATCAATGGAACTCCACATCTCGCAAGTCCTTGTCGACCAAGAAATCGCGAAGAGGCATGGCCCGGGTTCGAACCCTGCAAATTCTCATAGTGTAGCGATATCTCGCGCGCTGCATCCAAGTCGTATATGGCGAGTATACATGATGCAATTCGACGTGATTACACTCCGGTCTGTCCTCTTCGGTCAGGTCGACCAGAACTATCTTGTCGGCCGGAATTTTGGACACAAAGGTGGCAAAGCCTTCATCTCCACCAAACTCGTACGGAAGCTGGCGGACGTGATTGATGGCCCTATTGGCGAAATAGGCTGGATTTTCATCGGTAAAGGTTGCCATCAGTTCGCCCAGACAATTGTGCTGGAGAGAAATTGGCCACGTTCCCGGCGAAAAGTTGACCTGAGCCGATGCGGTCGAGAGCAGAGTCAGAGAGTAGAGAAGCAGACAAGTGTATAAAAGAAGATGCTTGGTCATCTGACCGGCGACGGTGCTGAGGCGTTGGGCAGCGTACCCAATTCGTGTCCGGCCCGAACCCCTGCGGAGTGGGCTCCTCTCCGAAATTTCATCCATTTGAATCCGTTGGTTGTCGCGCATCTTCTTGGTTGGAAAGGAGGGTCAGAAAGTGAGTTGGGAAAGTGAGTTGGAAAGCAAGTTACGAAGTGCACAGCCATTTTATATCTTGACGCCCTAGCCTCGTATCGCGGCCAGCGGCTAGCGGCTAGCTGCTATAATCTAACCATGATGATATAATAATAATATGTTCATCGTATAAGTATGGCGTGGTAGTTTATTTTGTCACGGCCATGCCGAGTCAGTTTGACATGGTTCTTATTACACAGCCCCACCAATAAGGATAGACAAATCCAAGTATTTGTATTTGTACTTGTATTTGTATTTGTATTTGTATATATATTTGGCGCCAGCGGCGTCCCTAGGGAGGGCAAAAGGCACCCGCCAGACAAATCCAAGTATATAGCATATATAAAATCATAATAAAGTCTTCGTATCTTGGTCTGCCATTACTTACTCCCAATCTGATAATCTATCTTAAAGTAGAATAGGCTACCTCATCGCTCGTTGTTTACATTCTTTGATGTCTGTGCCATCTCACTTGTCTCTTGCTCTTGATACTTAAGCCATCTCTTCCTCTCTCCCTCGGCCCGCCGACGAAGCCGATAGCATTGGTACGCCCAGCACTCCACCGCGCTATCGATGAGCCCCCAGTCTTTGTTCGTGCCTACCGTCCAGGTAGAATGTTGATCTGTGTCTACCCATGCGGAGCTGGGTCCGTGGAGCGGCTCAGCAGGGTCCCAGCCAAGATTCTTCATCGCCATAGCCACTCTGTGGTCCATGTCACAGACTGGTAGGTTGGCCGGGGCGGGTTGCATGCCCAGTGCATGCTCGCGCTGCTCGAGGTCGAGGAGAAACGAGAGGATGACCTCAAGCCGTGACTCGACCGCGACCAGCCGACCGTTATCAAACACGGAATCGAGCCGATCCGCTGCGTCGATGAGCGACAGATCGATGGGGCCGCTCTTGGCCTCTTTCCCAGTGGCGACGATAAGGGTCCGCATATCGGCAATGTCGGTTGTCGCAAAGTCGAACTCGCCCATCCGGACAGCCACGATGACAGCCTCAAAGACGGGCTGTATATACCAAAACGGCCGCATGTGGCGACGCCATTTGTGGCCCCCAAATAAATCCGGCACCTCCTCACAAAGTGTCTCGTTGTCTATGACGTCGCGGACTCTCTCACAAAAGTTGGTGTGTGAGCGCTTGAGCCGCTCAACCATGGCCAAGGAGCATGTCTTCACAGGGAGGTCGGTGGCGGTGGGTGGCACATTGACCTTTGTGAGAAACTGACCAAGATCAACCTCGCTCTTGTAAGGACGGAACCAGCGGTGATACGTATACCGGAACAGCTCGGCCGCAATGAAAGAAGTCTCTTCTTCCCCCTGAGGCTGCTCAGTGGAGCGGGCACGCGGGCACCATTCGTCACGGAGCAGATAGACAGCGGCAGTGCGGTTGCAGGCATTGCCAGCATCCTCATGGTGAAGCGTGGATGCGTGGTCTAGGTCGACGGGTTGGTGCATGCGTGAGGACAGAAGCCATTTCTTACCGGCGCAGTATGTGCTAATGTGCAGGTGGTGGTTCCCCTCTTGGTTAACGCGGAGAACGTGCAATATTTCTTTTCTAGACAGAGGGAAGCGGTCTGGATCGACACAGTGCTGAGAACGGGCTTGAGCAAAGTTCTCGACGGATTCCTTTGTATCAGTGCTTTGATTTTGCTCTGTGGCCGCTTCACTAGATACCATGGTTGTTGTTTCTGGGTTTGGGGTGTGGGTAGATGCTTCCTGGGTCTCAGGGTCGACGTTTGGGCAGGTATCTCTGTAGATGCAGATGAGATGGAGCTTGACTTATTGCTCTGCGGACGAGGAATGTCAAAGTTGGAAGGAGAGAAAAGAGAATGGGAGATGCGAGGGTATTTAAGATGGCTGTGGCTACAGAAGAAAAATTAAACGCGCGTAGAGTGAAAAGTGAGTTTGCCCATGCTCTTCGCGGCGTCGGTGGCGTAGTGCCTCTAATAAACACTGAGTCATCTTGTCAATTTCAATTTGTACATCAAGTGCCTTGTAGCTTTTGATTGATGAGGAGCTGCAACTAGAAAAGATCTTTCCAAAGAAAGAAAATTTACTTATATATAAAGTAAGGAGTCCACCATGTCTCTTGATGACAAAATGAAGAGGTGAAAGCGGAGTAGATTTAGTTCAGACAGCCACATAACCTACCCTTCAGCCAAGGCGAAAATGCAGCAGGCCCATCTTATACTACGTCGATTTCTGGCAGAATCTCAATATCCATACTCAAATAAATTCCAGAAAGGACTCGTAGATGTAAGCTTGTTATAGAGGGTATGACTATATTGAAAATGTAGAGGATAAATCATCATCCATGAGACCTGAAAGCTTGGCTGCAGGGCTAGCGCATCAAGGGCAGACCACGTAAATTGAAGTGTCAATGCCGAGGCTACCCTTGATGGGGGGTCACAAGTTGACGGCTATGCTTTCAAGACTATACTTCCTCGCCTCATTCAGTAATACCATCAACGACAACCGAGTTTTCTTATCATTTTGCGTGCTACCCTTGAGAGGCGGTCGGAAGGTGGGAGCGCTAGGAAACGCCACGAGCAGAGCCTTTCCCCATGAGATAGTGATGGAGCTTAGTCCTTACACTACTAGTTAGTCTAGTACTTCCCGAATAGGAAGTGGCATAGAGTTAAATGCCTCCCTACGGTTAGATATATACCTAAAACTATTACTTTCTAAGGATTCTGTTTTTATTTTTCTTATTTCTACGTCCTTTACCTCGGACCTTTTCGGCACTGTGCTATACTCTTTCCGTTTATACTGCTATACTCGGTCGCTTATGTTGTTTGTTTGTCTGCCTCCCTGCTCGTTTTCATTCGTAGCAAAACCTTAGGCCTCCTCACTACGTTCATCGCCCTACGCTGGGTTTTGATAATCGCGATCTGCCCTGCGGGATTGAAATGAGAATCGATAGTGTTTGCCAGATGAGTTTATAGTCGGTATTTGCGACAGATGAGAGAACAATGTCTTTTCCTCTTAGCTATTTATTTGTAGCTTGGTGCATGCATCCATAACCAATCTCCTGCACAGATTCACCCGCCACAGAAAAAGTCCCAACATTCACTAGCAAAGCGCCGTACGCATCCTCCGTCTCTGGCTCGTCAACCACTCCACCTCGACAGGTCGTCCGGCGACACGTGTCGGAAGCACGCTGAGCATTCTATACATATCCTCTGCTTTCACAGACTGCACGCCGCTCTCCTTGACAAAAAGCATCTGTAGAGCCTCTTGAAGCAGGATCGGACATAACACGTTCTTGCCCGCTTGGCTAGCGGCAGCTTGTGCTAGCACATACTCCCGTAGCATATCCAGCACGCAAGCACAGTCACGAGTGAAATCAGTTACTGAAGCATTATGCAGGAGCGAAGCCAACTCCGTCGAGCCCACTCTCACTGCCGGCTCCCGAGCCGTGGACAGCAAAAGTAACCCTGGTTGCACGGAGACAAGTCCATCCCGGACAGCCCCTACAACCTCCAGACATAGACACTGATGACTAGGTGATTGCCGTGCATCCGCACGACGTGCCTCTTCCAGTATTTCCATATACCTTCGGACGGCCTCCAGCATGCGGGGAGGTTCCACATACATCCCGAGGTGAATGGGTTGACTATCCAAGTCCATGGGATCATCTACCAAGGGTAAGCCTGACGGAGACCAACGGCTTTACTCCGCTTTGAAATATTCGTATTCTTGATTAAATACGTTTTTCATCGATAGTGAAATGACTGCGACGCTTGCGGAAGCTGGGAAGTGAAACGAACCTTGCTCCTCAAAGAACCAACCATTCTGGTCTCTACGTTCTTCATCACCACACTCTTCTCGACCATAGCGAGACTGCATGCTGCTTGTTTATGCTTACACAAAGCATGAAGGAACTAAAATTTCCGTCTGTCATGGCTGGGGATTTGTGCCGCCTTATACTCATCAATGAGTTCGAGCAATGGGTGGGGGCTCTTTTTGCTCCCCACTTTCAGTTCGAGTATGGAGTGGAGCCCTGTCGTCACCCTTCTATCCGCCTACCAATCGTGCATCCCTCTCCGGTCTTCTCTTAGTGTTACTCACGCACTCTCTATTTGTCTGAATACAGGAGGATTACACACGCGTGTGGAATCTCGATTCTTGACGTTCTAATTTCCGGTACTGATGATGCTTGATTGAAGGTCTATCTGGCTACGCAGAGGGCTGATGTAGAGTGGGGCCGGTGAGGCAGGGCTTGAGGCAGGCTGCCTCAATCAACACTGCTTTTGTCTATCATTATAGTGTGTATTTATATACCGACTATATATCAGTGTATAGCTCACTTATCCTGTTATATAAATTTTACATAGGACTTAGGTCCTTATGTTGCTTAGACTATTTAGAAGAAAGTGCTAGGAAGATATCTCGGCGGAGATATTCCCTCTAAGATAGTGTTAAAGCTTTTAGTTTTTAGTCGTCGTACTAGTCTAGTACTTCCCGATCAGGAAGCGGCATAGAATCCTGAAGAGGAAGTAGTATGGACTCATCATCGAAGCCGGTCGACCAATGAGAGGATTTGTATTCACCCATGTTACAATTGCCTTCTTATTAGAGGATGCAGCTCGATTGCCTGGAGTTCAGAACCGATTCGAGTATTTAAGATGGCGCACGCGCCCAGCTTGCCGTGCTGAGGAGCCCAGCAACGCACAAGAGAACCTTCACAAGCAAACCAGTCTCCCTAGCATCAATCATGGTATGAAACAGTCCTAGTCTATCACTAGACTTATTCTTAACTGGTTCAAAGTCTAGCAAATACCCAGTCAGCACCTTGGCAAACGGCCAACCTAGCGACAATCCCGGCTCGGTCCAGCAAGTCCGCTACGGAAACACGAATGGCGGCCTTGTCGTCCTCAGCGACACACAAACCATTGAAATTCTTGCTCATTTCGCCCGTGAGCGTATTCCAGAGAGGTACTATGGTTACGCCGCATCACCAAGAACAAGATGCTAATACAATGGTTATAGAAGCGTTCATGCCAAGGCCGCCGGCGCTTTTGGTGAATTTGAAGTGCTGGACGATGTGTCTGACATCACAGATGCCAAATTCCTCACTGGCATCGGCAAGAAGACGCCCATTCTCACGCGCATGTCCACCGTTGGTGGCGAAAAGGGCTCTAGCGATACGGTGCGTGACGTGCGAGGGTGGGCGACCAAGTTTTACACGGAAGAAGGTATTCAAGACTTTGTTTTTAATGATCTGCCCGTCTTCTTCATCCGCGACCCCATCAAGTTCCCGTCCATGAATCGTTCCCACAAACGTCACCCTCAGACCAATGTCCCGGATAACAGCATGTTCTGGGACTTCCACGTCAACAATCCAGAGGGCATCCACGCCTTGATGCACCTGTTTGGCCAGCGAGGTATCCCAGCGTCGCTTCGCAACATCAGCGGCTATGGAGTTCACACGTATACTCTCAACAAATCAGTGAGTAAAAACAATATCATATCTGCACCCTCGCTAATAATCTGTGCCTAGGATGGCAGCTATGTCTACGTGAAATGGCACTTCAAGCCAGATGACGGCATCAAGACCATGGCAGCGGACACTGCTCTTTACCTTGCGGGTGCTGAGCCGGACTACCACGTCAAGGACCTGTTTCATGCCATCAAAACTGGCAACTTTCCCAGCTGGACAGTCTATGTTCAGGTCATCCGACCCGAACAAGTCAGCTCGGCGCCGATTGACATTTTTGACAACACCTTTACCTGGCCCCATGCGCTCTATCCTCTGCGACGCATTGGCAAATTTACTCTCAACAGGAACCCAAACAACTACTTTCAGGACATTGAGCAGGCGTGCTTCTCCCCCTCCAACATGGTCCCTGGCATCGGACCCTCTGCCGACCCGGTATTGCAGGCGCGCATGTTTTCGTATCCCGACGCGCATCGCTACCGTGTAGGGCCCAACTACTTTCAGCTGCCGCCCAATAAACCCGTCAACTGCGTGTATGCGCCGTATGTACGCGACGGACCGGGCACCATCAACGGCAACTACGGCGCTGATCCAGACTATGTCGGCTCGCAGCTGTGCCCAGTGTCGACGAGCAAGCGCGTGCAGATGCCCACGCATGAAGTGTGGTCTGGAAACGTTACTGCTTTTGCCACGCAGTTTGATGAGGACCGTGATTTTAAGCAAGCTAGGGAGCTTTGGCACATCATTTGCCACGAAAAGGGGGGACGAGAGCAGTTCTTGCACAATATTGTGCCCACACTCAAGGATGTGCCCGACGAACTCAAGCACAGGGTTCTAGGTAAGTTCCAGCCGCTATAGCGTGTTGTTCATTTTGACTAATTCTTGTGACTGTAGATTACCTAGGCAAGGTTGACGATGAGCTCAAAGCCCTGCTAAAGGCGGCGCTTCTTAAGTGAATGCCTCACAGGAGTCTAGCTAGTACTATTTTGTAAATGTCGTGATTGAGAAAGGTTAGGAGATGATTGGCTTGACCAGGTATCGTCATAGCTATTATTGATGCTTGCTCAGGAGGGACAATATTGCTAGGTTTCTACATCTTTATAAAATTAATAAATTGAACAGGACTTATTTTTCAAGCAAACCACCACAGAAAACTTCGAAATTGTTCGATGCATCTCTTGTGATACTGAACTCTGAAATGGTCGCACGTAGCCAGGAGCTGGCTTGCATGGCAGCAGGCTTAGATAGGGCCTTTTTGGCGTGGGGCAGCCAGTGGATTACTACGCCTACTCCCCATCTATGCGGCAGAGCCATTGCCATCAACATGATTTGTTTCGAGGATCCTTGTCGACTCTGAGGCAAGTCTTTAATCCTTGTTCCATTGAAGAACACTCCATGAGCAGGTGGGCTGTGCTCTTATCTTTCGAAGAGCATCTTGACGAGGCTGAATCGAGACTCTTGCCACCGTTGGCGATGGCGGATACAACGTAACCATAACAGGTTAAAGCCACGCCAAATAAATAACTACAGATAGGGCCTGACTCGATTCCACATCTTTTGCAGTGAGGGGAAAGCTGAAGGCACTAGAAATTACTAGTGGGATGCTTCATGTTCCTACTCCACTCGCCAGCCGGTTCAGGTAGATTGTCACGGAAACTGTAAACCGAGGCGGAGACGACGCAGAGAATTTTTTTGCTCAAGGACCTGTCGCAATATCAACAAGGTGAAAAGGGTAGAGACGACCGATGCCGCTTGACATTACCTGCGACGTTGACACCAAGCTTTATTGAGCCCGGCTCCTGGCTCTTTGCACGGGCTTGAAATGAGAGCCCGCGACACCCATTGTGCCTTGATCCATCTCGTCTCGATCTCGATTCATCTCTCTTCAAACTCGATTCATCTCTCCTCAATCTCATCTCACCATGTCACCCGATGAGAACCCAGACGTGCCGCCCGCCAGCAACAAGGAGGACCGCTACGCCACCAAATTTGCCTTTGTCAATGAGCAGAGCCGGCAAGACTCGCGCAGCCATGCCATGCGCGAGTACTGGAAGCAGCGCCGGCGACCAAAGAGCGTCGATGTGGGAAGCTCATCCAGTTCGTCTCCGTCGTTGGCGAACCCGGGGGCAGCGCTCCGTCCATTGACACTGCGGTCGGGTCAGAGTTGCTCGAGCAGCAGCGGCACCACGTCGCGCGCCAGCAGCCGGAAATCAGCCTCGTCGAGATCCCCCAAAAGAGTGCCGGAACCACCCAAGGAACCACCAGGGATACCGACGCAGGTGCTGTCCGGGATGAACATGGTTCTCGGAAACTGCCGCCTGGATCCCTTTGACCAGTTTCCCGTCAAGCTCACCGCGCAGCATCATAAACTCATGATGCATTGTAAGAGAAATGCTCGGAGCCTGATTGCAATTCGATCGCTTTGATTAACACAGATTTTCCTCCAGGGCTTACCATGTACGCGAACATGACTTTCGGCGAAAGCGTAAAAGCAAAGTTTAACCCGCTGCGCGATGTCTTTTTCCCCTTGGACCTGTCGAATGCGGCGGCATTTAATGCCGTCATGGCGCAATCTGCGGCGCATCTAGCACGTATGCAGGGGCGCATGCGATTAACAGAAGCGCTGCATTTCAAGGCGGAAGCTATTCGCATCTTGTCCGAATGGATGGCGGATGAGAAGATGGCGATGAGCGACGACGTTCTGGCAGCGATATCCAGAATACTAGCTTACGAGGTCAGTTTTTGCCGCAAAAATTATTACAATCCGAACTCACACTAATCATCATGGTATTGAAGAGATATTGGGGCACCGAGGCCGAATGGCTTGTTCACAGAGCTGGTCTACAGCGACTTATTGACCAGCGTGGGGGTATCAGAGCACTCCAGAACAACTGGAGGCTCGAATTAACCATCTACTTGTAAGATTTCCCCTTGATAGCGTTACTTTTCCCAAACACTCGCTAAAACCCCCATAGAATTAGCATCATGTCAAAGCCGTCCTGGTTTGACAGCTCCAATCAGCTCTGGGAGATATCCGACTCGTCCATTTCGACCGGCCTCCACCCTCTATTCGGCAACGAGGATGCCCTCCCTCGTATCCGATCCCTCTGGCTCATCTCCTTCATCCAGGACACACGCACGCTAATGAATCATTGGCTCGAACTATATTCCAGCGGCATCACAAATTACGTGGGGCTGCAGCATGCCGTGGCCACACTGCACGCTGCCGTCCCCCCCCATTCCGGGCTGGCCGAAACCCATGAGTTTGACACGCACGATTATACCCGGCTGGCATGCATTCTATTCATTGTCATGATAATCCAGTCCTCCACGAGTATCCTGACGCAAACGGCAGCTGCATCAGGCAGCCAGTACCCGCAAGCCACACTGTCGCTGGCTCGCATCGCAGAGCTGGATGCCCTTCTCCTCGAGCGCGAGCCAAACTGGACACACTCAATTAACGAGCTCTACAACACGCTCTATCATGATTTCGCTTCGAATCACACGAGCACTCACATCACCAGCTACGCATTGCATATGGCAACGGTCGTAAGCTACATGTCTCCCGAGACCAGGAGAGGAGTCGAGAAAACCTTGTTGCATATCCTGCCGCATATACCGGCAGAAGGCTGGCGGGATGATAGTGATTGGACGCCAGATGCACTACTGTCGTCTACATACGGAGATTAGTGAATATACCCACCGCAATCTTATAATCTAATCATTATACTTGTCGTACTTGCCGCTATCCTTCTTCGATATATTGTGGGTGGCGTATACGATGTCGTTCTAGTTGAATTTGTCCAGCACTCCTCATCTAGTACTCCCCAGTATCATTTTTATAATCTAGAACGTCGTTGCTTCCACTCCGTTGGAGTTTATGCGGTGATCAACATACAGCTTCTAGTGCTGAGCCCCAGAGCCACATCGCTACGGGTTGACCATGCGCGTTCCCGTCGCTGTTGACTGAGGTTAGAATCTTGGGCAACCGCCACTCCACCAAAGATAGTATTCGCCGACTTGATATGATGGAGCTTCAGGGTTTCGATAAGCTTGACTTATTATGAGCCTGCAGACGATTAGCGAGTCTACTTCGCTCAGATATATCCCCATCACAGTGCATCATCAGGCTAGTCTCTCAATAGCACCCTGATGATTCGCAATGGCTGGCTTGGTAGCCTTGGTACCCGCAGAGCTACCCTTTGCGACAAACTTTGATAGACCTCGGCCATCGTGGGAAGACCGACATGTGTCTCCTCTCCCTTTGCAGCTGACTCGTGAAAAAAATTGCCCCTCATGCTGCTCCTGTGTTGACGCCACATCGCGGTGAGTTTTCTCATCATCTAACAAAGTTGGCCAATGCCGAGAACATGGATCTTCAGAATTCCTCGAGCGGCGTATCTTTAGCGTAGCATGGATCTTGTCTTTGTGGCAAAGGGCCTACCCAATGCCGGCAGTGTAGATCAAACTAGTTTCAGCCCAACCAATTCATTCTTTCTTCTTTTGTTCTTGTAACGTCCGCCGAAGGTCTAGCCCCTCTTTGGTAGTAGTAATGTCGTAGCAGCTAAGTCTCGGTAAGTGGTGGTGACTAGGGACGAGGAAGCCTTCACTCGACCCCAGGAACAAGGAAAACGGTCCGAAATGAGCGGAAGAGACGGAATTCTAGTGGTGAGCGTCGTAGCCTATCATCATTTGCGGAGCTTTCTCAACGGCTTCAGAAAGTATCTTTGTTGACAACGTAGCCACGTCCGGCATCCGGCATCCGGCATCTGGCCTATTCAAAGAGCTGCGAGATGCCGAATCTTGTGCCACAATGTCGAAGCGTTATGGATCAGTGTTTGGGTTTTCAACAACCTCTCGCGACCAAATGACGTAATTTTACTTTAACGGTCAGATAGCCGACATCTGGCCAGCCAATAGCGTACCCTGCAGCCAAGGAGTTGGCGGAGGCGCTGGCGAGAGCCTCGAGCAGTGGATTGCCACGCCCACAATTATGAGCTCGTCCGCAGCCAGCTATTGACCGACTGGGCCCGCCGGCGACTGGCTATTCAAAACAGGATCTGCAATAAAACTGCAATAAACCTGCGTTATATTCGTATTTTTAGTTGGCTGATACCTAATGCCCCGCTTTGACTGGCGCTTCAGACCCCGGTCCAACCGAGATCTAGTATTACCTCTTTGGGAAGTTGGTCCTTTGTGGATTAGAGTTTGGGAGGCCCCAGACTTGACCGCTGACACCCGTTAGGTTAGGCAACTACAGTGGGCGTACCATGAGCCCGCTACTCTTGTGAGGGACTGATTGACTATGCAACCGGTAGTAGTAGGTTGTGATGTGCATTATAGTCGTTCCTTCGAGGGAGATGGCGTCTTGGCGCATGCCCAGCCCTGCGCCACCAGCCCATGAGAACGGATAATAAGGTCTGGACCGAGCCCCGCGTGGCAAGCATTAGTTATGCTTGTACTCTTGTCTACCTTTGCCCGTTGTGTCGAAAAGTTTGCGAGTTGAAACAGACTTCGAAACCCCTAGTATCTCCCAGCTGTAACGATGGGCTTGCTGTTAGCGGCAAGTTCCCAGATGCTCTTTACTTTGGCGGTCGGCTATGATGGCTCCTCTTTTGTTTGGGCCCGCCCCATTCAGCTTATTCACTCAGCACAGTTACCGAGTTGTTTCCGCATCAGGAGCTCTTGCCTACGCTTTGCTAGTATTACCTCAATAGGCATGCGGTATAAGTGGATGCAATATCGACAAACAGCCGGATTGCCGTGATGCTACAACTGTCATAAAGCAAGTATATAAACCGCATGTCATTCTAAATACTAGATACCAACAGATAGTAAAACATTCTCAACACTCAACACTTGACAATTCCATTCTTTTATCAAATCACATTTCGTATACAACTCAGAAAAAATGGCAGTCAAAGACGGCTCCCGCTTTGATTTCATCGTCGTCGGTGGCGGTACCGCCGGCAACATTGTTGCTTCTCGCCTGGCCGAGAACCCCAAGGTCCGCATCCTCATTGTCGAGGCCGGCATCGGCTCATCGCGTGACAATGAAGAGATTCGTACGCCAGGCCGCGCCATGGAAATTCGTGGTAGTCAGTACGACTGGCAGTACAAGACGACCATGGTCAAGCGGGATGACTATGAGCGCATTGAGAAGCCAAACACCCGCGGCAAGGCTCTTGGTGGCAGTTCGTCTCTCAACTATTTTTCCTGGGTTCCTGGCTCCAAGGGCACATTTGACATGTGGGAAGAGTACGGCGGCAAAGAGTGGACGTGGGACCATCTTGTGCACTACCTCCGCAAGAGCGTGACGTATCACGACGACGAGGGTCTGTATGCCAAGGAGCTCTCCAAGATTGGCTCTGGCGGCCCTATCCCCATTTCTCACGCCAGACTGATGCCCGAGATGGAACCGTTCCGCAATCTCCTCGCGCAGGCATGGCAGTCTACTGGCGAGCCGCTGTCGGAGAACATTTTTGATGGCGAGATGCGTGGTCTTGTCCACAGCGTCAACACCATCTACCAGGGTCGTCGCTCAGGCAGCTTCCTCGCGCTCGAGGGCAAGTCCAACATTACGGTCCTTGCCGAGACTCACTCCAAGAAGCTCATTATTGACGAGGCCGACGGCACTGTCAAGGGCGTCACTGTGATTTCTCCCTCGGGCGGCGAGCTGAACTTTTTTGCTGAGCGCGAAGTCATTGTCTCCGAGGGCGTGTTTGAGTCGCCCAAGCTGCTCATGCTCAGCGGCATTGGACCCAAAGAAGAGCTTGCCAGGCACAACATTCCCGTTCTTGTGGATTCTCAGCACGTTGGCCAGCATCTTCTCGACCACCCCGGTGTCCCATTTGTGCTGCGCATCAAGGACCAGTACTCCATGGACAGCCGTGTCCTCCGCAAGGGTCCCGAGCAAGACAAGGTCTTGTCCGCCTACAAACAGAGCCATGCTGGTGCCATGGGCTCTCCCTTCCTCGAGATGATTGGGTTCCCCCGCATCGACAAGTATCTGGAAAATTCGCCCGAGTACCGCCAACGCAAGGCTGCCAACGGCAACAAGGACCCATTCTGCCCCTACGGCCAGCCTCACTTTGAGCTCGACTTTATCCCCCTCTTTGGAAGCGCTTTCCAGTGGCACTTTCCCCATCCCAATCGCGGCAGCTACATGACTGTCATGGTTGATCTGGTCCGTCCCGTTTCCGAAGGCGGCACCGTCACCCTCAACAGCGCCGACCCGCTGCAGCAAGCCAACATCAACCTCAACTACTTCAACGATGACCTTGACATTATTGCTGTCCGTGAGGGTATCCGTTTCTCGTACGATGTTCTCAAGAACGGCCCTGGATTCAAGGACATTGTCGAGGACGAGTACCCATGGGACATGCCGCTTGACGATGATGAGGCTATGAAGCGTACTGTTTTGGACCGCTGCCAGACATCGTTCCACCCGTGCGGTACGGCCCGCATTGGTAAGAACATTCACCAGGGTGCGGTTGACCCTCAGCTTCGTGTATTCGGTGTTCGAGGCCTTCGTGTGATTGATGCTTCTGTCATTCCTGTCATTCCCGATTGCCGCATCCAGAACTCTGTCTACATGGTAGCGGAGAAGGGTGCCGACGCCATCAAGGCTGATTACAAGGATTTGTACTAGGCATGATGACTCTATGGGTTGCCATTTTGAGCTTGATTATGTACCGTTAGAAATGTTATAATTATGTACCGAAAAAAATGAACGCGTCAAAGTACTATGTATTATTCCCTCCTATGACTGTCTGCATCAATATATATTTGATGAGTGTAGTACAGACTAAGACACACGGTCGACAGCAATGTTTATTATTCCACAGTATTAGAAAAGCCTCACTCTAATATACTATCCAAGGTACACAAGCGAGACTGGGCGTATTAGAAGTCGCCCCCAACTTCTCCGGTGGCGTAGGCGGAGTCCCCTTGTCGACAAAGACCTAGTATACGACATACACTGTATTCCAATGTCACCAATATTTGCAATGTTACACAATGTCATCTGTACAACTAAGTCGTATAGAGGGTGCGTTGCACTTGGGCTGAAATATTCGCGTCAGTGATTGGGGAGTGATGAGGTGTTGCACAACAGCGGCAACGGTTAAAAAGCGAGCGCCGCTACATAGGTTAGCTGTACTTTTCTGCTTGGAATCAAATATTCTGAATTCGCAGCAGAATTATGAGCAATACTCCGGGTGAAATCATTTTGACCCCGCCACGATGGAGTGTGATTGGGTTCACGTTTTCGAAACCACACTTGAGCGCCGAGTTTGTGGTCATGAGCAACCGGTTGCGCTACGTCATTCACGCAACAGATGCTTCCTTGGCCAAATCACCAGAGTTGCGAGAACAATTTCGCTTTTTCCTCGACGTGGCCGAAAATACCCAAGTCGAGGGCCATACAGTCGACGACTTCTACGAATGGGCGCTTGAACCTTTGATCCCCCTGCTATGCGAAGACGCGAGACTGACGCCCACACCAAGAAGAAGAGCACCCAACTTGCACGATTTTCTGTACGCTCCAGTACTGGAGTATACGCTAGGCTGCGGGTCGGAAGAGTTGGTACTAGTCCCCAAGATGGAGAGTCCAGAGACGCAATTCATGTTTGGCGCTTTCCTGCCCGAATCATGTAATGCATGGCCATGCTACCTTCCATTCGATATTCAACTTGAAAGGGGAACCGGTGAATCTGCTGTTCCGCGCAAGGTCATGTTGCCCGACGGGATGCCCGCTTTCTTCAAGCTCATGCGGCGTGGAGAGGAGGCCATCCTGGAGCGGGAGCTTGCATTATACGATAAGCTCCGTGCCTCGCAGCTCCCGGGCTCAGTTCGCGTGGCTCGTCTTCTCGGGCTAGTTTGCAACGGCCATAATCTCAGATCCGTGTTTGGTCTGCTGCTTACATACATTGATCTCCGAACCACATCTCTGACCCGTGCAGTCGAGTCTGGTGCCCAAGTGCGTCTCAGGCGCCGATGGTCGGAGCAAGTCATGCGAATCGTGCACAACTTGCACCAGAGAAGGCTCGTCTGGGGCGGCGCCAGCCCAGAAAATGTCATTATTGATGCGAGCAACAATGCTTGGCTCGTTGGTCTCGGAGGCGGAGGTTCGGGAGACTGGGTTCCGCAGGAACTCGTCGGCACCATAGACGGCGATCTTGTGGCCCTGAAGAAGATTGTCGACTTTACTGAGGGAGGATTGTCGATTTCTTACAGCTGATTCTGATCAAGTACTTATTTTCCATATCTAACCTTGGTGGGATGTGGGAGCAGATAAGCGTGTCGGCATGGTTCAGCTCTCGAGTCGAGTGAATCCATGTATTACAAGACAATGTCATACTTGCTTACCAAATTGGCTCTTGTTATCAAGTAAAAATACAAAGTTTTAGTTTGCTTTACGCACGAGGCGTCATGGGCACATTGGCGTCTTTAGCGGCCTGGATATGACTGAGGCTACTGCGCTATTCTGCTTACATCGCACTAACAAGTAATCGTGTCGGAAACCTGCCATAAACATGAACAACTGCAAACATAAACATGCTGATTTCCGAGCGTCGCACATTTATTACCCTTCGCGGGTACAAGTACTCCTTCATCTACGTGCCTGCCAGAGACAGCAAGACGACGCTGCTGTTCCTGCACGGCTTTCCCTCGCAGGCCGATGACTGGGAGCGGCAGGTCGCTTACTTTGCGCCGCTGGGCTATGGCGTCATAGCGCCGGACCTGCTGGGCTACGGAGACACGAGCACGCCCGACGCCCTCACGAGTTACACGTTCAAGGGCATGAGCGACGACATTGTGCAGCTTCTGGATCACCTCAAGGTCGAGTCCGTCGTCGGTGTAGGGCACGATTTCGGCGCCAACTTCCTCGGCCGTCTGGCCGCATACCACCCTGCGCGCTTCCAGGCCTTGGTGTTCTTAGCTGTTGGGTCGGGCAAGCCTGCGCAAAAGTTTGACGTCGAGGCCATTCAGCAAATGACGAGAAAGATGTCTGGCTTTGTCATGTTTGGGTACCTGTCTTGGCTCGGCGGCGAGGAGGATCCCCATGGGGTTCTGGAGGAGCACGCCCAGTCGGCCATGAGCTTGCTCTTTGCGGCGGACAACAGCGCCTGGAGAACCTGGTTGCATCCTTTGGGCGCCATGAAGCAATTCGTCACTGAGGATAAGCAACTTCCTGTGGGAAAGTGGTACACACTTGCCATGCAGGGTAGGCACTTGGAGGTTTTCGGGGCCCCGGATGGCTACAGGGGCGCGACGCGTTGGTACCGCATGCTCGTGACAAATGCCTCCTTGGAAGAAGAGGAAAGCATCGCAGAGACGAGACTGGAGCAGCCAAGCATCATTGTGGCTGATGCACAGTCGATGCCACCGCAGATGGGCATGCTTGCGGAGTGGGTGCCGAACCTGACGCCAAAGGAGCTGAAGAGCGGTCACTGGACACACATTGAGTGCGCCGAGCAGGTCAATCAGATCATTACCGAGCATATTGAAGCACTTGGGGCCAAGGAACCTGCTGAATCGGAGTGATAGATATATATGGGGGAATGATTTCATGGGAGCCCTCCTCCTATGCCTTTGGGCTAGACTAGACGTGATGATGCCCCGGGTCCTGTATGTATTCCTATTTGGCTATTCATTTTATATATTTTATTTTCTTCTTTCAGAAAGAATTCATATCTCAAGGCGCCTCATTATACAGTGAAATGTAGCGGCATCGTGACCTACTCAAACCGCGAGCGGGTGTGGGAGGAGCTTGTTACCCGAGAACCACAGAGAGATGAATTTCTCGTGGAAATGGTTGCGACGGTGGTCATCCACCTCAGAACCGGATATTTCAAGGGTATCGCGTCATGTTATCGGAATCAGGACGCAAAGGTTTATCATGCAGCTGGGACGATACGAATGTGTAGTGGAGAGCAATGATGGCCTTTCATAGGCGTTATATAGTCTAAAGGCCTATATTCCGTCTTAGTATGTACCGATGCCTCGTACTAGCGGTTCCATCAGATATTTTTAGACTGTTTTTATAGCCATTCTGCGAGTTGATACTAAATACTAGATTTAGTAAGCTGCTACTTTTATTAGTCTGAAAGACAATATAGCAAAGAACCTTGTTTCAGTAGCCCTATCCATCAACTTTCACACCCTGGCTCTATGCGCCTCCTTACTGGGTCTCTGTAGCCCTACGCAGAACGTCATCCGATTTCGTCGACACGCCACATTACCTCTCACGCTGGATTGCATACGACGAGCGCAGTCGGACATTCATTACGAAATTAATGCTTGTCATTACCTCACATGCTCTCTCGTCACGAGTAGCGTCAATGAAGGTGTAGGTGGAGCTGAAGTACCGTGAAGATTTTATCACATACGAGGGACAATAACTCAACGCCAAGGGACAGGCGTCTGTGTTTCTTAGCCTGGGGGTTTTTGGTCTGGTGCTAGGTGGGGGGCCCTGTAGGTGCACACGGGATCTCCGATATTGTCAACGTCCTAGCTTGGAGAAGAAGGAAGTAACTAGAAGATAAGGTGCCGTTAGATGAGAACCCTGATGATGACTTTATAATACAATGCGCGCAATTATAATAATAGATGCGGCTAGGGATTAATAAAGTAATATAGCTTAGTATAAATAGAATAGTACAGCTTATAACTAGAAGATGAGATGACGCTGAATAAGAACCCTGATGATGGCCTCCTGATATAACGTGTGTATTCCTTATTATATATATAACCAAGCCTCGATGAATTAATGTAAGTAAGCATTAATAAAAGAATACGCCTTATTCTTGATGAATTATTTGGTGATTATAGTAAATAATATAGGATTTCATTAATAGTAGTATACGTAGCGAGTATTCTTTAGAGCTAGTGAGAGAACGATATATATAAGTACTTCTTCTACTCCTCTATAATCTACTCATGACCTTAATGCAAGCCTAGTATCTACAACTGACGAATTCGAAAAGATGTATAAAGGCTCGCTCTCTACGGTTCTAACCGTACTGCTATACCTTCAACAAGCTAGCAGCAGTGTTATATATACTCCGGATGGCTCGATTCCTATTGACGACATTGTAAAAACCAGTCACGCAGATACAGTTCCCGGTCTCAATAATGTTGCAGACAGCATTATCAGCAATGGCCTAAGCACCATTAGTAAGTTGAAGCTACGTATACTAGAGACCCGGAAGCTAATATATCTAGATGGCTTAGACGGTGCTGTCAAGGCAAATCTGGTGCGGCGAGAGGATCCGCCAGAGCTTGGTGAATTGGATCGGCTTGCAAAATGGCTTACAAACACACCCGTTCGGGCCGACTGCGTCTTTGTTACCGTTGCGCATCTCCTTGGCACAACGCCCGAGGAAGTTTCGCGTCTTACAAACGTTCCGATACCCCAGCCGGGCGAGGGTGGTACACCTGAGATGCTTACTATACTCTCCAAACTTGGTCTTGTCTTTCGTGTCTGGACATATGGATCTCTTCCCCAAGGTGGGGGAGCTCCGATACGAACTCGGCCTCTGCACCCTGGCCGACCTCTTTATGTAGCATTTCCAAGGGCGACAGGTATGCCGCGTACCATGGGAGTTGCATACTATCTCCCTGACGCTAGTGGAAACATTCGTCCCGACGGAAACGGCGAGGTCATTGGCCACGTGGTTGTCTGCACGTTAGTATATTCACTTGACCCATCTACCCACGAGGACTACTAACATGATGAGTCTCTAGGAATCCCGGAACACCGTATGCACGCTATATTGACTATCAAGCAGACCCAAATGGCCGCGACATCACGGAATCTATACGCAACACTAGGATCGCAGCCTACTTCTCCATTAACCCAAATGCCTCGACAGGAGACCTTATTACGACACAGAGGCCAGCCATAGAGCAAATGGAAGTCGACGAAGAGCAAGCTTATCCCGGAACTCAGGACGACGAGCCACAGCTTGAGCGTCCACCTACTTTGCCACAGGATACTTCGGAGCCAATGGATGTTGACTCTGATAACTCGGATGAACCAATGGACGTTGACGAGGCAACTCTCGAAGATTGGAGGCACGGTCAATTCGGCAATGTTAGATGCGCTGTCGCCATTGCAGCTCTAGCAGCACTTTCTAACAACAAGTTTGGGAGGTCGCTCTCAGAGCTGAGTCTGAGAACTTCTAACCAGGAAGGTACTTATGCGTACTCATACAACATGCTTTTGTGGCTAAGCTAAGATTCATCAAAGAAGACTGCCGCCGCGCTCGCGAAATGGCCAACAAGACACCAAACCAGGGCTTGCCCTCATGCAGCAAGGTGAATATGCTGGAAATTGGGTTCCAGTTGGCCGACAAAATCTGGGCTGGAACCTACGATTACATCTCGGTAGCCTTCGCTGCAGAGAAGGATAAGAAAAGTCAGGATAGGCAGCATCAGCGACTTAAAATTGCCGACACGCCGTCAGCGGGACTGCATGTGTGGAAGGCTGTCGACTTGAAGAAATTCTTTGGTTCAAGTTCAGTCGCTCTGCGGGATATCAACTACGTTGGCCTGTACGACTACAGCATAGGCTTAGGTATTAGTGGCGATAGGTGGGAGTTTCAAGGTACGACAACATCTTGTCCTGTTTCCTTTTTCCGATCCATGAGCCTCCGAGTCTATTTTTCTGACGTAAATACTATACCAGGCCTGAGGTTGAGAGGACAGTGTGTTGGCAACGAGAAGCAGGTTGAAGTCGACAAGTTCGCATCGGTTAACAAGTATCTGCAACACTCGAACAAGAACAAAGGCAACCCTTGGATTATCCAGTTACCTTTTGCTCCAAAGGTTTATAGCGGCCGCCATGCGACCGCTGAGCTCGTATGGGCCGGAAATATGACCGTCAACGATTGGAAGGTCACGGGTGTCCAGGGCGGAAGCAGGAGGGTGAGAAGGAGACCGCGCAATTCTGCTTCTCCGAGGGTGGTTCTGCAGAGTGCGACGAGGGAAGTGACAGAGACAAGTACACCACGAGGGTAGATCAGGCTTCTTGAATGATGCGAACGGCCTCTCAGGTCCTTGATTTTTATATCTTGCTCTGTTTCGTGCGATGCACAAATATTCCCACTTACAAGAGTGTGCGCAAGTTCGATATCCTCTCTTTGGATTTTTGTGTTCAAGTCTGACTTGTTTGTCAATCAACTTGGTGCTAGATATCGAAAGGTTTCAGATATAAAAACGAGAGCTTCTCACTATCTAATTGGGCATCAATAATCATTTGAGAAGGTCTCATAAGCTTGTCAGCCTTGCGCCTTTGTCTAAGGCAAACGGGGTGGATCCTTGGTGAGACGGTCCGCTGAAGCGTGTGCAAAAGCCCGTCGAAATTCCGGATCGACTGCCTAATTATAGGCGAAGCAGCCCTGAAGGCCCAGCACAAAGCCACTAAAAGCCCAAGCCACAGCGCCACTCCGCTGTCACAGGCAACAATCTAGCCCCTTTTCATCCCATGCAGCTGAGCATCACCTCGTTTGCTCGTTCATGCAACGCTCTGTGGGTAGCTCGAGATGCCTTGCCCCTTCCCTAAAAATGCGCGGACCGGCAATCGCCTCGAACCCAGCAACAACCATGATAATCAAGTGCTTGTATAGCTGCGTGGCCGTGACATCATCATCGCCCGGCCTGGGACGCAGATGAGACGGGACAATATGCAACTCGCCCAGCCTTGCAGATCCATGGGCAGCGCACAGGATTTGGCGACCTGACTGCTCGGTGCTGTGCAGAGGCCACGTATATATGTAGCGACCGGTCCATGTCTGCCAGTCCTGTCTGCAATGGTCACTGTCACCGCGAATCGAAGAAACAGTTCGATATCGACATGAGCAAAGAACAGTCGCACGAGCTCCAGGAGCAGCAGCAGCAGCCACAGCTGTCCTCGGACGAGCCTCAACAGTCACAGCGGCAACAACCCAACCAGCATCAGGCTGTTCCGTGCGAACCGCAGCCTACGCACAACCATGGCCCTAGTCAGGGCACCGCGGTCGAACACCAACTTCCAAGTTATGAGCAGGCCAATGACGCTCCAACCGTCCAGCCGCCTGCGGGTGTGACACCCGGGCAGGCTGTCGGGAGGGTTACGCCCCTGAACCAGCTCAGCAACACGCCGCAATGGATCGTCTGCCCGTTCTGCCACAAGTGCACCAAGACTACCGTGCGTCAAGAAGGCGAAAGCACGCAAATGTGAGTCTGTACATCGACATGGCGACAAATGATGCAAATTGACAGTGTATTAGCATCGTCGGTGCCGTTCTTTGCCTCGTCTGCGTATGCCTGGCGTGTCTCCCCTGCATGCTCCATTGGTTCGAGGATACCGTCTGGCACTGCTCAGAGTGCAAGAACAAGGTCGCAATGCGAAGAAACGAGGGAGCTATCGAGGTTCTTGGCCCTACGCGAGTTGAACACTCTCAATATGCCCATCAACGGCCGATGGATAACTCCCGGCAGCATCAGCAGCAGCAGCAGCAGCGAGTGCCTCTTGGCCAAAACATACAGCAATCCGTGCCTCAGCATGCCGATGCTTCACATCAGCAGAGCTACGAGATACAGGCCCAGCCCTTGCAGCCGCATGCGCAGCCCCCAACGACGATCAAGACTTGATGACTCCGCCATGAACTTTACCTTGACACCCACTGAAGCACATACCCTCGCATTTGGCTTTTCCACCGATTGATTTCGAGATATCATGTCAAATTGATGTATTCATTAATAGTATTTTACTCTAGCGTTATTCAGCCGTCAAAAATGCGCCGTCGAGAGCTGAGTCGCTGTCGCGTCGAAGAAGTGAAGTAAAACGCACAATGCCGCCTCCCAGTCAGTGTATATCACATTCGCCTAGAGCCCCCCACGCCGTACTAAAAGTCTTTACGCCTACCTGATTTACTCAATCAGGACCTGCTTCTCCCTCTTGATCTGCTCGATAAAGTCCACAGAGACCTTGAGCGTCTGCGCGGCAATCTCGGGTGGCGTGAGGGCCAGCCACTGCGAGAGCGAAACGTCTGCCACGTGATCCGACTTGTAGATTTCGATCCAGACGAGATCCTCGTCCTCGGACGTGTTTTCAATGTAGTGTCTACAAAAAGTGGTCAGCGTTGATTGCATCATTGGAGAGAAAATTCCAAGACGTACCCAGAGTTGGTGGGGAAGACGGCCGTGTCGCCAGCGGAAAAGTCAAAGGTGCGAGCCGCACCGCTGCCGATGAAAGCAGTGGCTGTAGCATGGCCCTTGTGAAAGTACAGCCATTCCTCTGCCTACATACTGTTAGGATACTTTTCTACCAAACGGTGTTTCGAGTTGGGACAAATGGGAAAGACGTACATTAGGATGCCAATGTAGCTCGCGAAGCCCGCCGGGCTTGAGCGTCACAAAGGTGGCGGCAATCTTCTTGGCAATGGGAAAGTTGGTCGAGTCAATCTTGTAAAAGGTGCCGCCGGTTCCACCAATCTTCTCGGGCGGGTGTTGCAGAGTGCGGTACACAAAGGAAGCGTCGCCCTTTGCCTCGGGTGTCACGGCGCCCGTCACGTTCTTGGTTGCGACGGTTCCGTTGATGATGTACGGACTTCCCGCAGGGACGTCTTTGAAGGCCGACTCGGGTACGCCAAAGTTCTTGGCGAGAATGTGCTTGGGCGTGTGCGCCAGCCAGTCATCGAGATTGAAGGTGGTTCTTGGGGTCGGCTGTTAGTGGGTGCATGTAACTGGGGTGGAAGGGGAATAATGTCTATTGTTGGCGTACCCAGTCTTGTCGAAATCAGTCTCATCAAAAATGAGAAGAAACTCGTTCTCATCGTCTAGACCCTGAACGGTGTGGGCAACGCCTGGCGGAAAGTACCAGACATCGCCGTAGCCAATTTCCGTGGCTTGGTAGACACCATTCTCATCGACAGCAGAGACGGTAATTCTACCATTGTAGACGAAGCCCCATTCAGCCTGTAGTTCTTTGTGTAAGTTTTACATGCATGTGATTACATATTGCTACTTGATTGACGTACGGATTTATGCCAATGAAGCTCGCGGATAGCGCCCTTCTTCAAGTGTTGCTGCGCGCCAGCAATGTCGTGGCTCGAGGGCAAGTCGGTGACGACCTGCTCCCGCACCCAGCCGCCCTTGACAATGCGCGTCTTGGAGTCTGAAAAGCTCCATTTCAAATTGGGCACCACGCCGGCGTCAGTGCTCTGCTGCCCCAGGTTGTCGGGGTTCTGCAGGTCCAGCTCTTTGTTGGTGCCGCCTGTTCTTTTTGTGTCAGCAGCGCATCTTCTCCCCTTTTGCTTTCCCGCCTCATTTTTGTGTGTAAAAGCAAAGGCAATTCTCAGAAACCGAGGTATTGGGGGAGTAGTTTACCTAGGATGCGACCGCCTTTGCCGTCTTTGCTGATGGGCTGGCCTTGAGCAAACTGGTCTCCGCCCTCGCGAGGCGTCAGAGAGGGAGCGGCCAAAGCCGAAGCCGCAAGGCCGAAAAGAACGGAAGCTGCACGCATGGTATCAGTGTCAAGAATGCGGTTTCAAAACTTTTATTTATGACTACCAAACAAAAATTCAATCTGCAGGAAAGGGGCTGGCTTTTAACAAGTTCCTCTTGCACACATTCACGTGAACCCGTTCCGGGTTTGACAATCAACAAACGCACCACACTGCTAGCTGCTTTGAGCTTGGCCTGCTTTCAAAATCCCTCCCGTGGTTGACAAAATCATAGTTACATTGTCTATGCGCGTCTTTGCCTTGCCGTTGTTTCTTTTTTCCCCTTGTCTCTCGGCGCGGTCTGTACGCGAGCATATGGCGACATATAGTTGCGGAATGAGATGTTGCGCGCTACTTGTCGGGTCGCCTAGTCCCCCGAAATGAACATGTCTAGGAAGAAACTTACGATTCTTCTTAAATTGCGAGAATGTCATTCGTCGATCGACTTCAGTCTTTGTGGATGCGGCAGTTGTCAATTTATCCCGCACGACAGGGCTGCCCGTTGCATTAAAGCCCTCCGGCGGCAGGATCTGGTTCGATCACGCCATGCGGATCGCCAATTGTGTTGGTGCTGAATATCGCTTGCGCTCGGACGGTAGAGGCAGCTTGCTCGATGACAAGTAAACTGCCGACTGGGGAATTGTGGCTTGCTGTGACCCCATTTCGGATTCTGTTTCTGGGGTCGATTAAATTATGCTTTTTGTTATGCTCGCGGAGCTGGGGCAGAGAGGATCGGTCTGGGGTTGCCAAGTAACTCCTGCACGATGGGCTGCCGGAGGGATGGGACGGGAGTCCGCCACCTTGCGCCTCGGCCGAGATCAAAGGTATAAAAACCGATCAGATATATCCGTTCGCATAATATGTCTGACACGAAGATTTCGATTGTAAAATGTGAGACCTGTGATACAAAATAGCCGAGTATAGAAAATGAAGTGGTGTCGCTCTCCTCCTCACCCTTGCCAAGCAAGCGGCAGCCAGCGCATCATCTCGGCGAAAACCATCTAGACTGTTTTTGATCTACACATCATAACCACAGTCTCACTTCGCCATTCTCTAGCTGAGTGTCGATCCGTAGGTCGGCTACTAGAATCTCCCTGCTGGAACCTCACAGCCTAAAGGAGTCTTCTCTCCTTTGTCCGTTGACCGCCATCTTTGTGGCTTTCGTCGCCATCTACGCTATGCGAAAATGGGCAAACATTCCAAGACATGCAGCTTCGTGCCTTTCTTCTTTGGGCGAATTGGTGTGATGGTATCACTTTGTTGGATGCCAGAGTCGTGTAAGCGAGGAGCCGAAGCAAATCTAGAGGACCAAGTCAGGAGCTCCGGACTGGACGAGCAATAGATATAAATATTCAGTAAATCTTCTCATATTCTGCTCATAGTTGAATACAGGCAACCACTTGATTCTTCTCTAATCTGCTCAATCTCAGCCCACCATGATCTTCTCCAGTGTTGCCCTCGTCCTAGCCAGCCAGCTGGTGGCCAAGGCAGCCGCCTCCCCAGCCGCCGCCTCTGTCAGCAAGCGTTCGCCGCTGGGAATCAGCCTTCCGCCTCTCATCCCTTCTATTCCCGGTGTGACTGAGCCTCTGGTTGATGGGGCGCCGCCTCTGCCGATTCTGCAGCTGCCTACGCCGCCGCTGGACAGCCTCCCCTTTGAGACCAAGAACCTGCAGCCCAAAAAGATTGGCTACATCTGGACCGGTGCCGGTGACAACCACCACAAGGATTTCCTTGCCGCCGTCAGTCTCGATGACGTAAGTGTTGATGCTGTTCTCACAGTTGTGTTGATGCTAATTGGCTTATAGGATACGTTTGGAGAATTCATCCATATTGCGGATGTGCCCACCAGCGGCAACTCGCCTCACCATCTGGGTGTCTCCCTAGATGGAAAGACGCTGGTTGGCGGCGGTCTCCTGTCACTTCTCAAGACTCAGGACACGAGCTACTACTGGGATTCGAGTGACCCTTACCACCCCCAGTTCGCGCACAGCAACAGAGCCCTGCTCAGCTCCATCACCGACGAGATCCGAGCCAAGCCCGAGGGGTACGACTTTCTACTATCGAGAATGACTTTACCCTTTGCTGACATGTTGTAGTGGATTTTTCATTACTTTCATGGGAAGTGCCCTGGGAACCTCACCCGGTCGCCTAGTCGAGACCGACGCCCATGGCAACATTATCCACGAGTGGCCCGAGGACGTCGACGGCACGGTAAGGCACAGACGAATAGAACTGATCATCCGTCCTGATCTTTAACAATTGCTAGCTTAATATTCTCGGACAGCAGTTTAGCCCTCACGGCCTGAGTGTTGACTTTGAGAAGAATCTCATTCTTACCTCTGACTTTGTCGTCCCGCTCAGCATTCTCAAGCCCGTCTCTGCCCTGGGCATCCAAAAGGCCAACACTTTGCGTCTGTGGACTCTGGACGACCGCAAGATCATCTCCACCATTACCATCCCTGATGTGGGTTCTTGTTGTCTCTCATCCTTCTGCGCATCACTAACATGGAGCAGGGCCAAGGTATTCAGGACGTCAAGTTCATCCCTGGCAACCCTGAAAGCGCTGCGCTCGCTACGTAAGTTGACCACTGCCTCGTTTCAAATCAAACTATGCTAATAACCCATAGCGCGGTCAAGAATGGCCAGGTCTGGATCATCTACCCCTTCCGCAAGGACGCCAAGGGCAAGCAGGGTGTCGCCGAGCTCCTCTACGATTTCGGCACCAAGGCCAAGGAGTCGCTCGCCATTTACTCTGACGTTTCCGACGACGGCAAGCTCGCCTACTTTACCTTTACGCTCGGCAACCACGTCGCCGCCCTCGACATCTCCGACCTCGGCAACGTCAAGCGCCTCGATGACCCCGACGAGCAGCAGCCCATCATCGGCCCCCACTACGTCAAGATTTCGCCCGACAAGAAGAACCTGCTCGTCTGCGGCTACTTTGTGCAGGCTGGCGATGTACGTGGCACATGACTTGCTTTTGCGGACAAGACAGCTGACGCGATATCTAGATTTCTGTTCTCAACACGCCTGGCGACTACAAGGTTCACTGGATTGACATTCTAGAGAACGGTGCGCTCAGCTTCAACCGTACTATTGACTTTGAGACCATCTTTACCCGCACTCGCGGTGGTGCTGTAAGTATACATCAGCGCATTTCGTTGGAATCATGCTAATTAGTTCAACAGCGTCCTCACAGCGCCGTCATCTTTGATCTCACGGACCCTAACCACCCCGTCTACTACTAGTTGGACAGGACAGAGCTGGGTTAGAATAGTCAAGACGTCTCTTTCGTGTCAATAATTCTCGTCAAAAGATGCAGAGGTGCTGGTCGCGGGCAATCTTGTCTGCTTCCATGCATTTCCATCACTGTTTATGCCACTACGGCGCGAGCTCGACGCCGTATGCTTAATTGTTAATACACTATTTAAACCCGCAACACTCATTTGAAAATGAGCTTGAATCTGCAAGTGCCAGTCCAAAAATTCTGTGCCCTATTTTGTACACGTGTTCATTAATTCTGCGTATTTGCAAAATCGGAACATTATTTTCTGCACCACGACAACCACCAACGCACCTTTACGTCCTTTGCGGAATAAGAATTGGCTGATTAAGCATTCTCGTGCCTGTTTTTTGTCGACGCTGTGAATCTTTCGTCTCAGCGTCAAATGGCCTATCATGCCAAAAAAAAAATGCCCGCGAAACGGCCTGCGGACGCCGGGGCGAGGGCAAGGTCGAGCGCTAATGACACGGCGCATCCCTGACAGAAGCTGTCCGGGACGATGGAATCTGCGGGGTAAAAGTGTAGGGTGGCTGGGTTACCGGCTATTAAACGGTCACGGGCGATTTTGTCGCCTTCTTGTCGGTGCTATTCACGGATTTGAAAAAGAAAAGAAAAAACAATTGCAATGCGAATTGGAAACGTTAGAGTTGAATGATCGCCCAAGAGAAGGATTGATCGTTGCTAAGTTGCAATCGGACGTTTCTTCCCAGCCCATATCCGGCTGTGCGAGATTCAAGGTTGGCAAATCAGTAAACACTGCGTGGGCTCCCTGCCCAACGTCATCGAATCTACCACCACTCATAAAACAATCTGCTTGCAAGTCAACGATAATTTCGTATATCTGTTGCCTTTGGTAGACATGTAAATGAGTTTCTTGCTTGTATCCCCCAACTGCATCATAGGGCGCATTTACATACAGCGACCCCCACATTGACGACTCGTAGGGCGCCTGAGTAACCAAGAGATGTACATAAATGCAACTTCTTTCCAACTACTCGATACAAATCAACAAAACCTCTACCCACTATCCCATCTCCATGATGGCTCACCTTGGCGACTTTAACGTGCTCTGCTTCGACGTCTACGGCACCCTCATAGACTGGGAAACCGGCATCACCACCGCCCTGCAGCCCCTCTTCACCGAAGCCAACAACAAACCCTTGCCTCCCCGCGCCGAGCTCCTCCACGCCGTGCACGAGCTCGAAGCGCAGCAGCAGAGCCACGCCCCGTCCATGCGCTACCGCGACGTCCTCGCCGCCATCCACCCCCGTCTCGCCGCGCGCTTCCAGCTGGCCCCGCCGACCGCCGAGGAGAGCGCCGCGTTTGGCGCCTCGATCGGGGCGTGGCCCGCGTTTCCCGACAGCGTGGCGGCGCTGCGCCGGCTCGCGCGGCGCTACAAGCTCGTCGTGCTGTCCAACACGGACCGCGAGGCGTTTGCGGCGACGAATGCGGGACCGCTCGAGGGCGTGCCGTTTGATGTCGTCGTCACGGCCGAGGACGTGGGCAGCTTCAAGCCGGCGGGTAGGAATTTTGACTATATGGTGGGCGAGGTGCGCGAGAAGCTGGGGCTGGGCAAGGACAGGATTCTGCAAACGGCGCAGAGCCAGTTTCACGACCATCACCCCGCGAAAAAGGCGGGGATAAGGAGCTGCTGGATTGTGAGGCCGGGCGCCATCATGGGGAATAGACAGCAAGAGGTTTATGATTGGAAGTTTGATACGTTGGCGGACATGGCAGATGCTGTCGAGGCCGAACAGAAATAGGGTCATGGTGTAATGCAACAATGAGATGCGTCATGTTTTGCAGCCAATTTGTAAATAGCCAATGAAGCCATGCTTGCACTTCTACAAGAAGAAGCGTCTCACATTCAGTTTTGGACATATTGAGTCCAGTGCATTCAACCACATGGTACAACAGAAGACGCAGCGTCTCACTTCAATTTTGTATATTCTTCAATACAGCGCATTCATTCTCATGGTGAAATACTTCTCCGCGGTCACCGGTTCATACCGCTTCGGCCGATCCTGCCCATGGCACGTCGGCACGCAATCCACCACCGTCGACGGATCCGCGCAAATGAAAAAGGGCATCGAGTACCTTCTCTTTGTCATGCGCACGCCCGTGCCCGGATCGATTTCCACCCCCGCCGGCGTCCTTACCCGATGAATCGTCGACCGCAGCTCATCGTTTGTCCAACGCATCAGCATGTCGCCAATATTCACCACAACCGTGCCCGGCACGCACGGCACCGGCCGAAAGCGCCCGCCGCTCTCGCCTTCGCCCCCTCCTTGGTCCTCAATCTCCAGACCGCCGACATCGTCCTGGAACAGCACCGTCATGGTGCCAAAGTCACTATGCGCGCCGATGCAGTCTGCCTGCCCGCTCTCGAGCAGCTCCGCCGCAAAGGGCGGGTAGTGCAGCAGCCGCAGCTGGTTGTCGCGGCCGCGGTGGCACGCGTCAAAGTAGTTGGCTGGCAGATTTAGGCCCACGGCCACGGCGGCGAGAAGCTTATCCTCGAGGCCGTTGCAGAGGTTGTAAAAGTCGACAAAGAATTCGCGGAAGCCGGGCAGGGAAGCGGCGGGCGGCCAGATGTTGGTCATGACGTCGTCGTTTTCCCGGCCCAGCTCAAACGACTCCTTTTGGTCCGGGACCTTGCGGTGCTGCGCCAGGCCATCCTCATCAAACAGATTCTGGGACACCTTTTCTCGACCGATGCTAGAGTAACCGCGATGGTACCAGCCCTCGGCCGGATGGGGTGCCTTGTCCTTTTCGCTCTGTGGGAGGTCAAAGAACTTGCGGCTCTAGGATGGATCAGCAAAATTGGTCAGTTTCAATTCGCAAAGTATACTCCTCACCCAGGAAAAAGCCTCTTCGATTTTCTCTTCTGGAATACCGTGGTTCTTTATGTAGGCAAAGCCCACCTCGCGAAATGCCTTGCATAGCTGCATGGCTTGCTCTGTCGGGGCCGAAGTGGCGAGGTCAATAACTGGAATCAAATCTTGCGACAAATTCGGCATCATGCATCAAATGGGCAGAATATTGACATGTAGGAGAAGAAATAGAAGAAATTTCTTTCCAGATATAGGGAGCTAGATATTAGCAAAGCTATACAACAACTATAAGCTCCCTTAGTTAGATCGTTCGTAGGGAAAAAAAAAAAGTACGCCGATGCCCCCACCGGCGATGGTGGCGAGAAAGACTCCGCATCGGTTGGCCGGCAGCCGGTTCGCTTCTGGACAGGCAGGCATCCAATCACATCAGCACACATGGCTCTGCAGCAACCGTCATATGCAGCATCGGCGAAATATGCCCTATAAAAAGAACAAAGGCGCATCGGTCATTTTTGTCGCCCAATCAATCTATGCTTATGCCCATCTAGCCATCTACAGATCGTCCCACTCTAGTTACTGCTCATACCCCTTCGGAGGGTGCTGCGAGTCCGACACCTTGAGTGAGTCGGTGTAGTAGGTCGGTGCGTCGCTGTTAGCCCAGGTATCCTTGACCGACTGCAAGATGCGGCGGCCGTTGAAGCTATTCTGATCCAGACTCAGGTTGGGCTTGGGAATCGGCTTGTCGGTTGACTCGGAGTTGAGGTAACCGCCGTAGCAGTCGTTCCAGTAGTAGCTCTTGAACTCCTGGTCGTTGTCCCATTTACGGATCTTGTCGCCCGTCTTGTCCGCAACCGCCTTGTACACATTAGCGCCCACATCCCAGCGGCCCAAGGTGGGAAGGTCCCAGTTAGCCGAGACGGTCGAGATTTCCGAATAGTGGTTATAGAAGCTGCTGTCTGTGGTACCGACTAGCTGCTCTGGCACAGCGTCGCCGACAAGGATACCCAGAATATTGTTTCTACGCGAGTACGACTCGGACTCGTCCCACGTCACAAGCACCAGGGTATTTTGCATGAACTTGCTGTTTGTCAAAAGAGGATCCAGAAAGAAGCGGCACCACTGACCAGCAGTCGTGACGCTCGAGTCGTGGCCGTCAGATGTCATGTTGGGAGTGATGAACATCCATTGGGGAAGCGCATTCTTCTTGAGATCCTTGTGGAATTCGGAGCGTGACGTGTCAATGTGTGACATGTTCTTGATGCGACCCAGTCTCTCGTACGAATCGGTAACGCTCTTGTGCATGATGCCGGGGTTGTGCTTGCGGACGTAGTCGTTGCGGCCACGGCTGTTTTTATAGGAGCCGCCCTCGAAGCCAGTGTAGGGCATGTCTTCCTGATAATGAGCCCAGGAAATGTCCTTTGATTCAAGCAGATCGATGACGGTGGCAACTTCGGCAGGCGAATCAATCACGCGGTCGTCGTCCAGGCCAAAGTAGTCCCCAGCGATGCTGGCCATGTAGTTTGGCTGTGACGGGTGGGTGGCGGCAAAGTAGTTAGACAAGGTGATGCCCTTCTTGGCCAGCCACTTGAAATTGGCTGAAACTTGTCAAAACTAGCTACAAGATTTGAACATGCTTGCCAACTCACGGTCGCCAATGGCTTTTTCATAGTTTTGGTTCTCAAAGTAGATGATAACGAATCGATCAAAGGCCTTGCCCTTGACATTACTGGTCGGAACAGTGGCGGCAACACCAAGGACAGCAAGGGCCAAGATCTTTGCAAAGAACATGGTGTCGAGTATCCGCAAAAGTTTAACCTGTCCAGCTCGCAGTGTTCCATTGCAAGGCCCTGCCGACAGAGCAGCGGCGGCTTCGGTATATATGCGCAACAGCCCATCTCGGCAGGTCAGCTTCGTCTCTGCCTAGCCTGGGGATGAGGTGCTAGCCGACGTGGACCAGTATGCACGTTGAGATACAGTGCCCATGCAAACCTAGCGCAAAGTACCAATGTGCGGCCATTTTGATGACATGGATTTCACATTAGTGCAGTCTGCCTGCTAAGCTTTTTTCGGGGCATTTTTTCAGGTAAGATGCCGGACCGCCAATCAGACACGACCCATTAGCCAGCGTAGGATCGCCAGTGTCCCATCACCATCCTCAGAGCGGAGTCAACTAACGCTGAGTTGGAAGGTGGAATAGGTACTCAACACCGGCACGTGTTTTTGTCTGCACCTTGATAAGAACTGACTAACCTCGCGAACAGACCGAGCCATCGCAACGTGCCGCATCAAGGACGCCTGAGTGGTCTATGGCGGTGACAGTAGGGAAAACTTCTGAGACTGTGGTAGTTGCTCGTGGACCGACAAAACATGGCAGTATCCACCGAGGCCCTGGAGATGTCACGGCCCTGAAGCCACGGTCCGACCGGAGAGAATCGCCCAGGAGATCTTGCTGACCAAGCCGATCAGTGTCGCGTGCCTCATGTTCGGAAAGATACGAGGATGGCTGTTTGCCTCCTAAAAGGTCGCTAGTTTGTCGTGTCGAGGATAAGCTGGGCTGGGGCATTGTGGAGGATCTGCGTTGTCGTATCGCCTAGCGCGCTGGAATCATTTCGTCCGAGTATTCGAGTGCGACTTGGCTCTGCGTCCTTTACTCTTTTGCTCACGTCCGGCGACGTTGTAGAGTTGCCTTATGACTTGCAGCTTGAAGAGATGGCGGCCAGTAGGCCCCTTGTCGTTTGCTTCCTAAGAATTTCTTGCACCGCGTTGTGGGGTCGCTGGTTGGACAAATATCCTTTAGTTACCTATCGTCGTTCGTTCACTAGTACCCAGCTATTGCAATTACCTGGCCATGTCAAAATTGAGTTTATTGACTAAACAACAACTCTACATATAAGAGATTTCTATATCCGGTTCATCGCCCAAAAATTGAAATATTTCTTCCTTTATCAACGAAACGTGGCTCTCTACGGCAAAATGCCCCGCATCGAGGAGCTTGATGACCGCGTTGGGCAGATCCTTTTTGAACGCTTCCGCTCCAGCCGGGATGAAAAAAACGTCGTTTTTGCCCCAGATGGCGAGTAAAGGTATTTGCGATGACCTAAAGTAGGCCTGGAATTTTTCATACAGGGAAATGTTGTTTTGGTAGTCTCTGAACAGATCCAGCTGAGCCTCTCGGCGACCAGGCCGCTGCAGCAGGGCGTAGTCTAGTGTGTAGGACTCGGGCGCAATGGCATCCACGTCTGGCGTGCCGTTGACGTATTGGAACTTGGTAATGTCAAAGTTGAGCATGCTGTCGGCGATTTTGCTTCGGTCATCTGCAGTGTTGTCACTAGCCCAAAATTCCTTGATAGGGGCCCAGACGTCGCCGAAGCCTTGGACATAGGCGTTTCCGTTCTGAGTAATGATGGCTTCGATGGCGTCAGGGTGGCGGAGCGCTAAGCGTAGCCCTACAGGGGCACCGTAATCGAAAACGTAGACCGAGTATTTATCGATGGAGAGCGTCGCAAGAAATTCTTCAACGACGTCTGCCAGAGAGTCAAAGGTATATGTGAAATCGTCAGGTGTCTCAGTGAAGCCAAAGCCTGGCATATCTGGTGCGATGACGCGGTATCTGGTTGCCAAGAGAGGAATCAGGTGGCGGTACTGGTGGGACGAAGACGGGAAGCCGTGGAGGAGAAGGATTGTCTTGCAAGGATATTCCGGGCCATTTTCTCGCCAGAAAAGGCTGACTCCAGATTTGGGCAAGGAGATTCTCTTGGTTTGTGTCGAGAGCATTCTGGTTTGTGTCGAGAACATGTTGGTGATGAGGTAGTAGTGAAGGAGGGAGCTGTAATGTGATAGATATATGGTGGATATATGGTGGAGAAGTGAATAGCAGAAGTCGGTCAAGGGGCAGGCCACCCATTTATGGTTTTGCCCATTTATGGTTTTTTTTAGCGTTGCTCTCGGCTCCCGGCTCACTTGCATGGTATGAATGACGTCTGGAATGTGAGCTTATAATTACTCATGATAATTTTGTCTTTGCATCATGCTCATGCGCAACAGTGATTCCAAACAGGACACCCACAAATTTTTTCCCAGCGCTAGCAAGCACTAAACGGAACCTTCACTACTTGACTACGTGGAGCAAACGACAAATTGAGGATCTACACTTCAACGTTTTATTAGTGGAGTTTGCGATGAGGGCGACAGGTCGGTGCCACCCTTGCACGCCTTGTTACCCGGACCAAGGAGGGGGACAAAAAAACCGGCCCTCGTCGATTCTCGATACTGTTTTATCAATCATAAATACGAGAGCAAGTAAAATAAGATTTTTGAAAATACAAGTTCTATATTTCACTTCCACACACATTATACTTTTTTTTCTATTTAATTAGATAGTCTATGTCTAGACAAATAATGCTTTAGAATCGAGATGCTTTCTCATCAGGGCCGGTCTAATGTTGTCCCCCACATGCCGTATCATCCGTGGAGACATACAGCATCTGCCGAATAGCCATTTGTTAACTATTCAACAAACCTAGTTTTAGTCAGCGAGTCAGCAATCAGGACAAGCAAGTAAGCGGACACCAAAAAAAAAATATGGCTGATTGTCTCGCAGACATTCTAGCCGTCCCCGCCCCGTCTTGCGGGGACGGCAGACAGCTACCAACTGGTGGCCCATGTTTTTTTGGACGCGCTTGACAAGGTCTACGTTGGCGCATTATTAAACGACCACGTGCATAGTATGTTAGATGCATATTAGGCAGCCACCAAGTTTTAAGCCTCCTGATGCCCTTATCTTGATGGGTCACAACATCATCTCCGAGTCCTCGAAACAGCCTCGGTCCGTTTTCATCAGGATTAATAATGGGTGTTCGCTATTGCTCACAGCTTCACGATCTCGAGTACTAGTTTCTTGATTAAAAATCGACGTAGCAGACTTCTGCAAATTTCAAGCTCCTAACTAGATAGCCGAGTCGGGCCGAGCCACATCAATAAATGAGCCGTGTTCCAGACACTCGAGGTTGGCGGGACTCGCCAGGGCGAGCCTATCTATATGGTGTAAGATGGCAGCCAAATGAGCAGTTTTGACATCAGCTTGCCATAATAATATAGAAGTGCCAAGGAACTTTGTTGATTGGGGTTCTTCGGGAAGGGGGCCAGTGAATGGTTGGCCGGGCCGTCCAATTTACTCCGACAGGGGAGCCCCTGGCAAATCCCAGTACTGCAGTTGGCTAGATTGGTGGCCTCTTGCGAGTGGTTTTTGCACCCCGGAGCAAAAAGCTCAACCATGATTCACGACTGTGCAGGAAATAATAATGTCAAACAGACTTTGCTACCTGATACCTCGGCTCACCTGCTTATACTGGCCCTCAAGATGCTGGTCTTGTCCTCACTTCTGGCTGTCCGGTGGTATCACCAAAGACTTACAAACCCAACATCCTTGCAAGCGGCCTCCTGCGTGTGGTGCATAAGTATTGTATCCCTGCGAGGTAACTCTCTCCAAACAGAAATTAACCCCTGTCCGATGAGAGGCTTCGTAGCTCTGTAGGTAAATACGCCACTCTTCCTTTTCGACACCAACCTGGGACACGATACTTACCAATCTCACTCAACAGTAGTGCCATCAGAAGTGTCATGTCAAAGGCAAGGCAGTCGGCGGCCGGTCGGCGGCCTGTCGGAACCTATCCACTCTCTAGCTACATCAAATTATAACAATCCTTATACACTTGACTCTTACCCAATGGTTGACGGCCGGGGCGGCGGGGCTCCTGGACATGTTGCTGATCAATGATAGCGTATCAATATCAGGGAGAAAAGAACATATTGGGCAACCATGACTCATTCCAGGTTACATCATCTGGTACCTAGCGCCGGGATCTTCACAGATCCGCTTTCTTATTGTCACTCTTCTATGTAGGCTTTGGACAGGCAGTGGGAATTAGCAAATGACTTACATTTGATCAATGTACTGGGAAAACTTGTTAGGTCCCTCGGTCTTTCGATGATGTGCTGCAAGTTAGCTTTGAGTTACTCAAAGTATCAGCCAATAGTACCTAGGAATAATTTCCGGTGCAGGTGTCATTCGCGTATGATGTTCTATTTCCGTCTTATAACAAATGTCATAAATCCAGCAGCGAACACAGAGAATATTCGACGAGTCTCATGTACGTCCTTGTCGATGGGTAGAGTAGCTTGCTATAGCCTCAAAGCAACCGGGTAGCATAGCTCCGACGGGCATCCCGCGGGCCCCGGCCGAGATATCTACCGTCGGCAATCCCTACGCTAACCAAGTGACTGATTCAGCTTGTCTCTTCCTCACCGCAATGGGCTGAAAGCGGACACTATGTAGTTACATAGAATCTAGGATCTAGGGGTCAACGCTAGGGCCAAGAGTTTCGCAACATACACGCTGCTGCTCGAGTCAGGAATCTTCTTGCATGAACCACACGGGGTGCTAACTAGTCATTGCTACCTAACTGGTTAATTAAATAGTGTTGCCCTACCGGGCCGAAGTTGACATGGCCTAGAATTAACACGCTAGGCCGGCTATATCACTACCCGGTCGGTGGCGCCGCACTCCGTACCCTACTTGCACTTATTATCAATCGCAGTTGATAGTTCTGCAGATAAACGACGGCGGCGGCCGGTGACTCGACAGCCTGATAGCGAGCGCACATCGCCGTGTAGTTTCCCTCGTTTTCAGGGCCGAGCGCGAAGTAATTGGCTTCTTGTTTTCATCCCCGCTGCGCCGACGTGTAAATCATACAATAGGGTGAGCTATGTCTGGCCTGGGCTTCTTCCCCAGCTAAATAAAGGATTACCCACAGACGGGGCCAAGACAAGCTCATTTGAGGATGCACGGTGGGCAAAAAAAAAAAAAAAACATTGGTACCAATTGATGTTATTAGAAAGAATGTTTATTGACTGTATACTTGTTCTATATAGCCCGAAAATGGGCACTTTGTACGAGGGGTGTTACTGCCCTTATGACCACGGGAGCGCAAAAGGTCAGCTATGCTGCCTCAGTCTTGGTGAGCGCGAAAACTGCAAGCGCAGAGGGTTCACTTTCCAAGTAACCCAGGCCTAGCTTGTACTTCAAGCTAGCTTTTCTCAAATGCTCCGGGTCCAGTTTGTTCTTCGGCCTGTCTCTTCCCAAGAGCTCCAGGTCCAGTTTGTGCCTGCTCTGGAGAAGCCACTTAATGTGGTGTTAGATGGAGGGTCTCACACGAGGTCGATCACCTAGGTACTCACCAGGAAGACCTAGGGCTCCCGAGGCTAAGAGAGCGCACAGTACGAACTTGATTACGACAGCCATCTTGTTCTGAATTGCGTGTTATGTTTTGGGCAAAGTTGCCAGAGGCGGGCTATGTCGTTGGCTGACTTGAAATAATGGAATTCAGACAGGTCGAGACAGAGTGGGAGGCGGGCGGTCTTGTAACCCCCACCCCGACCGAAAGAAGGAAGGAGTATCCATCCGTACGTTCTGCAAACTAACTAACTTGGTGTATCCGTACTTGTCCTTCGCAGGAGCCTTGCAACCGGTTCCCAGCTCTCGCCCAAATCGAATGAATACAGACAGCCACCTTTTAAGCTTGGGCTGCGCTCCAACTGCCCCCAGGAAATGGAGCTGATATCAACAGCGAAGCCTCATGTCTTCTATGGTCGCTGGCTCGCTAGTAACTAGCAGCATGTATTACCTTGGCTTCCTGTTCGCCATCAACTGTCAGTATTTGCGCATCGCACCATCACAGAGGAACTTTTGTTAAATAGCGCCGTAGGTGCGCTTGATGTGGGATGCAGCCTTGATATTAAATGCACCACCTTCTTGGAACTGCAGCCCCCGCCGAAGCAGGCTGGCCATGATGAAGGAGAATGGTCTCGACCATCCAATAGGACTTTCCAGGTTGCGAAATGCAACTTCCGAAAACCATGGCGAAATGTCCATTTTGGATATACTCATTACAGACTCGTAGATATTTAGTTGTTCTCGCAACATGATCTCTCCCGATCAAGGTGCCCACGTAGCATCACAAAGCCATCTCACTTGCTACCTTGCCCGCGATTATCCAAAGAGGCTGGGGCCCCCATCTGCATCGAGGCTCTCCGCCCCAGGCCACCCCAGTCGTGGCGGCTGCAGGCTCCCGAGTTGTGGCTAAAATTGGCTGGTTAGCCAACTAACACGCCCAACTATGCTTGAGTGAGACCATACAACATGCCTCCTGTGTTAAGTCGCGGCACTTCACGACAAGGCCTACTCAATTTCAACTCATCTGATGGCTTTTTTGTTTTTTTTTTGCCCCACGAGCGTCAAAGGGCCAAAGAGACACAGCGCATCTGTAGGGCTCTGTGGGCAAGTAGCCAAACGAGTGTTGGTAGGCATGCAGAACGAATAACAGCGTGATGATGGGCATTCAATTTCACCGTCAGCCTACCTGCATTAGGCAATGAGCTGGCAACTCGCGCGGCAGGATCGCGGGGTGCCTCTGTCCAACAGCCAGGGCGTACTCACAGACCCGCAGGTTGATGCAGGCTATAGCGGATTGCTTCCGCGCATGTAGCAACACATGCATGTTCCCTCCTGAACATCTCATGTCCATGTGCATGGATATAGCGCCACTGCGCAGGATATACGACCATCTCCATCCCGCCGTTGGGGCCAATGACACACGCCCATGACCATTCACCAGGTCCGCGTGCTTTGGACGAATACTTGGATGCTGCGGACGCCTGGCGATGAAAAGAACTTCATAAAAAGGCCCTTCTGTGCCGCCAAACTCCCTATATAGCTGAATCTGGCCATTGGCAGCCTCTCTATAATGGTATCCTATCTTCGCGCCATTGCCCCCTCATCGCTAACCTACAACGTTGACACAATGTCGTCGTTGGCCCGCCTAGATACCCTTTTTGGGCCCCAACTACCTGGCCACTTCGATTTTACTCTCTGCTTCGAGCACGTCATGCTCTGGCTGGTTCCTGCTGGCATCGTGATTCTGGCTACTCCGCTGTACTTCAACAAAGCCGTACGAGCTCAGCGCCAAGTCCAGCCCGGCATCCTCCTTTGGGTAAAGCTGGCTTGCGCGCTGGCCTTGGTCGCCATACAAGCCAGCAACATTGCTCTTTGGCACAAGACGGAGTATTTCCACTCCGAGGTGACGGTTGCTGCTTCGGCCATGTCGCTTGCTGCTTCGATCTGCACGTTTGGCATTGTTGCTATCACGCATACATATGCATTGCAGCCGTCTGCCTTTCTAAGTGTCTTCTTTTCCATCACGATGCTTTTTGATATCGCCATGACCCGTTCCTACTTTCTCCGTGGAAGTCTCAGTGCTATTGCTGTCTTGCAGGTTTGCGTCGTCATCCTCAAGCTTATGCTAATTGTCCTCGAAGAAGTCCCCAAACGCGGCCTGTATCGGTCTCAGTACATGAGATCAGCCGTCTCCGCCGAGACTGCATCAGGCTTCTGGAATCGGTCCCTTTTTCTATGGCTTAACCCTCTTTTGTACTTTGGCTGGTTCCATACCCTTACTGCAGACAATCTACCTAACATCGCGGATGAACTACGATCCGAGAAACTCTTTGATCAATTCGTTCCGTATTGGGCGCAAGGTACGAGTGTTTCTTGCGGCCCGCTTCGCTTCTCCGGCAATGAGATGAAGTGCTAACATGTGCATAGTTTCCAAGATCTCAAAGCGCGCACTCGCGATCGCGCTGTTTCGCACACTCACGTGGCAGCTTATCCAGGTCCTACTTCCGCGTCTCGCCTTTATCGGCGCCACTATTGCGCAGCCCTTCTTGTTGTTACGTACAGTGCAAGCCGTAAGCACCGGTAATGTTGATAGAAGCACTGCCGGAGGCCTCATCGGCGCGACCGCTTTGATATACTGCGGGCTTGCTGTGAGAAACAATACGCGCGAAAAGAGAATTGTATCAATTCTGACAATAGCACTGCTCAATCTCCAGATCACACGAGCTCTGTACGAGCATTGGGAATACCGTGTCATCACTTCCACTCGAGGCATACTTGTTGTTGCTATATACGACAAACTGCTCCGACTCAGAAGTGAAGATCTCGAGAATTCTGCCGCACTCACGTTGATGAGCACAGACGTGGAAGGCAGTGGGCAGATTGTCCAACTTGCCTACGAATCCTGGTCCTGCGTAATTCAGCTCGGTCTCGGCATTTGGTTTCTTTATAAATTCATCGGACCGGCGTGTTTCCTCATTGTCGTACCTATTTTTGGTAAGTAAACCTGCTGTCTGTAGCCTCAGTCATGACACTGAGTCTTGCTTGTCACTAGCAACATTTGTGGGATCAATCATTGCTGGGAAAATGATTGCGACAACACGTACTGCAACAAATGCAGAAACGCAGAAGCGTGTTGCGGCAACTTCCAATATACTTGCGCAAATGAAGAGCGTAAAGGGCATGGGACTTTCGAGCGCTCTGTCAGCTTGCATTGAGGAAAAGCGCAAGCTCGAAATCAATACTGCAATGCGCGAGCGCTATTCCGTTCTCTGGGTCTTTGGCTTTGGTCAGTCTGTCCCAATCTACATCAAAATATTACTGCTGTCACAAGTTACCAACCAGAAGCACAGGTGCAATCAACTATACCGTGACGCCCGCAATCGTCATCGCAGGTGCTTACTTTTGGACGCGAGCTGACAACCCGATGTCGGTGGCCGAACTGTTCACTGTGATTGCGATACTTTCGCTGAGTACTGGTCCTCTGATCAGTCTGTTCAGATCGATCAACGGATGGGCAGCAGGCTTTGCATCTATTGGTAGGATTTTTGACTACCTTGTGCAGGAAGAGCTTCAAGACCCCCGCGATACCCCCAAAGGTGTTGATGCTCCGGCCTCCACAGAGAAGGTCTCGTCCTCTCCTCCCAGATCACCCTTTGCCGTTCAGCTCAATTGCGTTTCCGTCACTTCTCCAACCACTGGCCCTGTTCTGAAGGATGTTACACTTGCTATTCCTTGGGGGTCGCTCTGCATGGTGTGGGGTCCTATCAGCTGCGGCAAATCCACTTTCCTCAAGCTTCTTCTGGGTGAAGTGACACTCAACAGTGGGAGCATCGCTGTTGGCTCGAAGATCATCGCATATTGCAGTCAGGAATGTTGGATTCCAAACTGTACCGTTCGACAGGCCATAGTTGGGCAACTCAAGTTTAACGAATCCCGGTATAGAGAAATTGTTAGAGCATGCACACTAGATGTTGATCTGGCGGAGCTGCCGGATGGTGACCAGACACAGACGGGAAGCGGGGGATGCAATCTCAGCGGCGGACAACGTCAGCGATTGGTAAGTCGTTCTTTTCTCAGAGAATAATGAAGTTGGGCCAGTCTCTGATACTACAAATCCAGAGTCTTGCACGAGCCGCCTATGCCCAAGAGCAAATCATGGTCGTTGATGACATTTTCAGTTCAGTAGACCCAGAAACAGCAGCCGCCATCTTTGGCAATCTCTTCGGTCCAGAAGGCATGGTCCGCCAGTGGAACTGCACAGTCATCATGTCAACAAATAGGCGTAGGTCACATCTATACCGCGAACACACAGCTGGAGGAAAACCGTCTGACCGTTGAGCTAGTTGAACTTTTGGATTACGCGAATCAAGTCTATCAGTTCGGCAAGAATGGTAGAGTGGAGCTGCAATCCGACGATTGGGAAGCTGCATCAGTTGCATCTGATAGAAGCGGTCACGCGTCAAATGCCGAGGATGAGGACGACGGTCAACAGCACGCAGTCAGAAACGAAGACACCGAGCCACCTCAGATAAAAGTCAAAGACGAGGAGAATGAAGGTGAATATCTGAGAAATGTCAAGGCGGGTGATTTATCTCTATACTCGTATTTTTTGAGCTCCGCCGGCATTTTTCCCATTCTTGGCTGGACTCTGCTTGCAATGATTGCTGCTGTTGGAGAATGGGCGCCGGGTTTGTCCCTAATTCGACCCTGTAAACCATCTGGTTTTTCTAACAACAGAATTGACAGTCATTTTTCTGCGAATATGGTATGGCAGAAATCCCAGCAATCCGTATTATTTCATCGGTTATGCCGGATGCGCCATGTTTTGTGTCATCTTCAACATTTCAAGTAGCGCGTACGTTGTCTTTGATGCTTTCGCCGCTCGGGTGAAGTCACTAACAAAATCGCAAGGTTTTATTTTACATTTGTATACAAGAAAATCACCAAAGAAATTCATCGAAAATTGCTTCTAGCGACAATGGGGTATGTTTTCAAATCTAGTTGCACTACTTGCCCAGAAATGCTAATGAGCGTAAAGCGCGACGCCGCAGTATCTCAATGAAACCGACTCTGGGGTTCTGCTCAATAGGTGAGATCTCGCCTAAGCCGAATCAAAGCAAGATTAAATTGAATCTCACAAAACACAGGTTCAGTCAAGATATTTCTCTTATAACGCGTCGACTAAGTCTTTTGGCCAACCAGTTTATGTTCTGTAAGTATTTTGACAGCCGCAGTGACGATGTTGGTGTTAATTTGACTGCAGTAACTTTTACGACCCTGTTGGAGATTGCAATTATAGCCGCTGGCTCAGTTTATTCCATGCCCGTCATGTTGCTTCTGACAGTGGTTCTGTTTCTTACTCAGTTGTATTACCTTCGGACCTCTAGACAACTGCGACAGCTCGAACTAGAGTCCTCCTCGGCAATATTCACACATTTTACCGAGTCCAACGAAGGTATCCATCATATCCGCAGCTTCAACTGGCAGGAGAGCTATCGTCAGAAACTTTATGCCAAGTTGGATCGATCTCAAAAACCAACGTATCTGCTTTACTGTATTCAGCGATGGCTCACCCTGAGCATGGACATCATGTCCGCTGTTGCTAGTATTGTCCTCATCGGAGTAGTAACGACACTACCCGGCAAAACTTCAAATGCCGCGGTGGGACTTGCAATGCTTAGCCTCATGGGTTTTAGCGGCACAGCAACTGTTTACGTCCAACTCTGGACATCATTCGAGACTGCCCTTGGCGCTGTTCGACGTATCAAGCAGTTCGTTATGAGTACACCTCAAGAACAAGATGCCCTTTCCGGGCCGTCACCTCCTATAAACTGGCCAAGCGCTGGAAAAATAGACTTTAATGCACTCACTGCTACCTACAGGTAATGATTGCCCTGTATGCGCTACTCACAACCACACTGACACTGACTGGCGGTATTTAGGACGACGGATGGCGGTGAGCACAAGGCTATTGACAATGCAACTGTGACTATCCGTGCAGGGCACAAGATTGGTATCATGGGACGGACTGGCAGGTATGTGGAATTATACAAGTCAAATCTTCTTGGCGTCTTTGGTGACTAACTTGTATGATGCAGTGGGAAATCGACAGTACTCTCTGCTATGCTGAGACTGGTGGACTGCACTGGAAGCATCAGCATTGACGGCCACGACATACGAAGGGTCCCCCATGAATTTCTGCGTTCAAAAATCACAACCATTACTCAAGATGGCCTTCGGCTGAAAGCATCACTCCGATTCAATCTGTTCCCATTTGAGGGTGAAAAGCCGTCCGACGACGACATGATTGGCGTACTACAAGATGTTCAACTCTGGACGCACGTGCGTCCAAATGGCGGCTTGGATGCCGACTATTCCAGCATGCGCTTCTCTTCAGGACAAAAACAACTCATGTTTCTGGCACGCGGAATCCTGCATCAAGCGAAAACAGGCAACAAAATTGTCATGATAGACGAAGTGACGAGTAGTCTGGCCCTGGACACTGAAGACGATATCCAGACGCTGATTGACGAATGTTTCGAGGGTTGCACGATTATACTGGTGTCTCATCGGATGGAATCTTTCAACACCGTCGACGGAGTCTTGAAATTTGATTCTGGTAGGCTCTCCAACGTGCTTCGCCGGCGGAGTAACGGAGATTTAGTAGAGGCCAAGGATCTATGACTGGGGCAGAAAGAAAAGTATATAGTTTCTTATTTTTCTTTGTTCAGAATACACGTAACTACTTTTTTTTTTTTTTTTTTTCTTTTTTCCACATTCATCTTTATTATTTTAAGCTCTGCTCTCACTTCACTATAAAGACATTATTAGTAGAAGGGGTGTTTTAGGCTGCCATTTAACGGCTCTCTGTAAAATAATTCTGCTTGATTGATGAAGCCATCTACACCCACTGTAGGGAGGCCTCTATAAGGAGTGCCTGGAGCCTCTGAAAGAAAGTGGGGTGGGTTGTACTGTACCACAGCAACAACAGTGCAAGAGGCACAAAGTCAGCTTGCTGCCTCGTTCAACAGGAATGTATATCCTTATATCCGGTTAGCCTCTTAGGCCACGGCGAGAGCGTGCATAAGGATATTTAATATGTAAAAAAAATCAGGCGGCTAACCAGCTGATCAAACAACAGCTTGGTAGCCAGCTGGTCAACAGCGTCCACAGCGTCCACAGCTTCAGTGGGAGTCACCTGTCAACTGCTTCCCAGCGGACTTCGTCCTCCCATCAAATCTCAAGCCTCTGGCATCCCACCTCTTTGCTGTTTGTTACCCAAGCCCATCGACCATGTCATTCATCTCCCGGGCGTGGACTCGATTAGGTGGATTCGGCGCACCACTGCAGCCGCGTATATTCGCGAACCCCAACTTTGTTCGAATACCCGCGGATGTGCAAGTCGAAGAGGAAGCACTGCCTGACTATCTCCCCGCGCGTTACTACCCCATGCGTATTGGCGAAGTCCTTGTCGATCGTTACCAGGTGGTTGGAAAGCTTGGCTTCGGCCGGAGCTCGACAGTTTGGCTGGCGCGGGACTTGCTGTATGTTGTCGCTGCCAGAAAGCCGTCACGCCCAGTGCTTACCAGAATGTAGCCAGCGACGCCACGTCGCCCTTAAAGTTTTTATACGCTCACAGGCGCTTGGAGATGGCGTGGGAAACGAAATCGCCATGTTCAAGCGCATGGAGCAGCGCAAATCCAGCCATCCAGGTCGAAGCGCCGTCAGGACCCTCCTAGATTCTTTCCACCTTGACGGCCCGGAAGGGGAACACTTGGTCCTGGCGCACCCGCCATTGTGGCGAAGTATTGAGGCGGCCATCCGGCGCACCTCGCCCCGGAGGCTCCCAGCTTCAGGCCTACGGTACGTCCTGAAGGACTTGTTCCTGGCGCTAGAGTACCTGCATGATGAATGCCAAATCATCCACACTGGTAAGTGTGCTCCCGTTCTTTGAGCCACATCTACCGCTTCTCCGCATATGCGGCTAGCTAATCGCACCTGAATAGACATCAAGGCGGACAACATCATGTTTAGCATCAAGGACTCATCCGTCTTCACCGAGTTTGAGGAGGAAGAGATAAATAATCCCTGTCCACGCAAAGAGGTACAAGGGAGAACCATCTATACTTCGCGAGCACTGAAATCCACAGGATTAGTTGGGCCACCGGTCTTATGTGACTTTGGCTCTGCTGTATTTGGAGATGCTGAAAATATTGAGTGTGTACAACCTCACATCTATCGGGCCCCTGAGGTGACACTGGAAGCTCCATGGGACTACAAGATTGACATTTGGAATGTCGGATGCATGGTATGTACCTTATTGGCAGGAAAACGCTTCCGCTAAAAGCAGGAGATTATGCGCTAACAGAAATGCAAGATCTGGGATATATTTGAGGGAAAGCAACTGTTCTACGCTGTTGACCCAGAGCACAAGGCTTATCGAAGGAGGGCTCACCTCGCGGAAATCACGGCGCTGCTAGGGCCTCCGCCCAAGGATCTCCTTACGCGCGGCCGCCTAGCGAGTAAATTCTTCTCAGAACAAGGTATGATTTTATTACACGAACCATCTGCGCCAAGTCTTGGTGTTGTATCCAGCTGACACGGCTGAACTGCTAGGCACATACGCTGCTGGGATCAATTTGCCAACATCCACGTCGCTGGAGGAGCAGGAGACGCTTCTGACAGGGGACGATAAGAGACAATTTCTAGAGTTTATGCGAAAGATGCTCCAGTGGAGTCCAGAACAACGCAGCACTGCCAAGGAGCTATTTCAGGATGCGTGGCTACAGGAGCGGTCATGAAGCCCGAGTCTTTAAAGGAATTATAGCATAATAATATCAGTCTTCATGATAGATGCCACTATAGAGCAATCTCCAAATTGGATCGACCGTCTAGCCTTGAATATAGATATCACACTGCGGATGGATGGGGACGGTGGAGAAGGAGTGCGTCGCTGGAACGCCTCCGTGCGCCTGGAACCCCTAACCACAGTCATTACAGTGGGTGTAGCATCAGCTACACCCACTGTAGTGGGCGAATCGGCCTAATAAGCTGAGCGCTGTCAGTGACTTGCAATTAATTACTCAGTGATTGAAATCGATTCAGGTTGAGGAACGCGAGTTCAAAAGCTCTCTAGTATTTTCTACAGTAACTCGTATCAGCCGCGATAGATAAACTCGGACAATAAGTGAGTCTCGGCCGATGCCTCAAACCCCGACCGTGAAAGGATAAGTTTCCCCACGCAGCCTCTTCCGTGAATCGGCTCCCGCCTTGGCTCTTTTCCACCACCACCTGCCCTAGACCCTCGGCAAGCCCCGGGGCTTATCATAGCGATCGCCACCCCATCGCATTCCTGATTCTCCTTTTGCCTCTCCAAAAAGAACTCCACAGAGACACCTCAAACCTTTAATTCTTCCAGAGGCTCGGCATCCCAAGGCGCAGAGAAGATACAGGCGACATGGAACCTGTGATGAACGACGACGCGACCGCTCATGAGCCACCGTCGCCTCGGGACTATGCTCGCAAACCGCTGAGCTGCTCGACATGCCGGATCAAAAAGATTCGCTGTGATAGACGCATACCATGCTGCCACTGCGCCAAGGCAAATATCCGATGCACTTTTCCATCACAAAGAAAACCAAGGGAACGCAAGCCTCATCTTAAAAACCGCCCCGCCGAGGAGCAGAGTGCGTACGAGGCTATTGGCGATGGGTTAGCAGACCGGTTGCAAAGCTTGGAAGCCCAGGTTACAACCCTGCAAACGCAGTTGGTAGATGCCAAAAGCGACAAATTGCCAGCTTCGAATAATGAGCTCGTGAAACGGGCAGCATATCATCCGCGCGCGACTTCGGCTGGCGCTGTTACGCATATTAAATCGTCGTTCTGGGCGAGCATCAATTTCGAGGTTCGCCATCTTGTACTCGCCCTCTAGTATGGACAACTTGCTGAAATGATATTTCTAGTTACGGCAGCAGCTTTCATCGCGGCGCTCAAACGGCATGCAGCCGCAATTCCAGTACAGTACGCTTGCAGGGCCTAGCTTTTCTCTCCAAAACCAGCCCGATGTTTCCATGCTCCTAGTTAAGTCGTTTCAAGGACTGCGACATCCACTCCACCACCCACCAGAATCACAAATTATCCTCTTTTGGCATGTTTTCAAGGAGAATGTCGAGCCCATGGTCAAGCTGCTACACTGTCCGACAATGGCACAATTGGTCGAGAGGGTGCTTTGGCATCGGCACACACTCTCCATCGCGGAACATGCTCTGCTGTTCTCAATTTACTATGTAGCGACGGCGGCCATGACGGAAGAGACGGTAAGTGCAAACTAAACAGAGAGCGTTTTTATACGTAGCTAATTCAAAAGCTCAGATTATTCGAGAATTTTCAGTCTCCAAAAGCGCTTTGCTCAGTCGTATGCGAGTCCTGGTAGAACAAGCACTTATTGCTGCCAAGTTTGCCAGTGCAGTGGATGTCACCGTTCTACAAGCAGTCATGTATTTCGTACTGGTTCTCCGCAAGACGGGCGAAGCGCGTAGCGCTGGAAGCCTAGTGGCTATCGTCGTCCATCTCGCACAGTGCCTGCGCCTTCACAAAGATGGTGCAGGCGTTTACGATCTCACGCCATTCCAACGAGAGATACGTCGCCGCTTATTCTGGTGCATTGTTGTCTTGGATCACCGCTCAGCCGAGGACCTGGCCACCGATCCCATGATTCCCGAGTCCATGTGGGATACACCCCTGCCGCTCAACATCAACGATGATGATTTCAGTGAGAGCTCTTCTGTCATGCCAGAACCGCGAGATGGCATGACGGAAATGACATTCAGTTTAATTCGTGTGCACACTCTGCAAACCTCGGTCAGGATAAGGCGACTCGCCTCAGAAGAGCCTGGCCAAACGATTGAGACGCTTGACCAACTTTGCGAGGACATGTGGCGAGAAACGCACGAGATGCTCAGAAAGATTTTTGTAGATCCGAATCCCAGCCACGAGCTGGCTTGGGCAGCAGAGTGGATGGCGTCGTGCATCATCTCCAAAATGAAGCTGACAGACCAATGCTCATTCTACTCACCAGAAGACGCGCACACCATGACTGAGGCGATGCAACGGCGATCCACGGCGCACCTTGCCTCGGCGATTCGCGTCATGGAACAGAATCACTCTGCCAATCTAGACGACCGCTGGGCCAAGTGGAAATGGAGTTTTGTCGCGTACTCGCGCTGGCACGGCTCGGCTATTCTATTCAAAGAAATGCTCCGGCGGCAGTGGACGCCCGTCAGCGAGCAGGGCTGGGTCACGCTGCACAAAATCATGGGCGACTCCAAGCTGGGCGAGCTCGAGTGCCTGCGAGACCAGCCGGTGATGCCGCTGCCGTTTGGCTTCATCTACGAGCTTACCAAGAATTACCGAGAGTCCGAATTTGCGCGACTGCGCAGCCAGCCGGAGGAGGCGCAACGGCTGTGCGATGAGGCCGTGCGCGACCGGCAGCACCACTACGGCACTAGTGGCGACCGTCCCGGGGTTTCGGCCTCATCTCTGGCGCGCTGGCAGCGGGCTGCGGGTCTCGTCCACCACACGGCCGAGGAGGGCATCTCCGCGCCAGGCCCGCCCGGCCTTATCGCGCCCCTAGAAGATGTGGAAAGCGTCACAGATGTTGAGAATGCGCTCGCCATGGCGCAATCTCTGCCCAATGTTTGTAATCAGGCGCTGATGCCCACGGCGCCACTCGGCTATGACCCGGGAACGGACCCGTGGCCGCTGGGGGAGGCTTTGCCGGTGGAATACATGGAGAATATACTGGACGAGATCTTCTAGCGGTATTAGTCTTGTCGCGTTGTCACTAAAAAAGTGTATAAACTCACTGCTTAAACCTGATTTCTTATTACGGTGTCTCTTTCTTTTTTTTTTTTTTTTTTTTTTTTCTTCTTTAAGTTTCGTATTCATCTATTAAATAGCAAGGTAAACTAACGTAGTGTCTCCGTCTGCTCTACCCTCATGAATGACCGCTACGACATTGTGCAGCACATCATGGTACACTATGAAGCAAAGAATCGCCCGTGCATAAGTAAAATGTTAAAATCATCAATGTATCGTAACATAAAGTATACTTACTATGTTAACATCGGCTTTCATTGCCAGCGCGAGCGCCGTATTCACAAAACAGTCGGCAAGTGTACTAGTTGTCGGTTTCTAAGCTAGCTCCGTTATCAATGTACAAGAGACATCTCCTTCTTACCTCCCGAGTTTGCGCTAAAAAAAAAAGTCAGAAAAACCACGGAACTATTTCTCGATGGCGATCGCCGGACACTTACTTGCAAGCGAGTTACCACTTTTTCTGACGTACTAATACCCCTTGAATTGGTAATGACTGATAGCCGGAATCTTGACTGATAGGACGGGCCGCAACACCCGATTAGCACGTCGCAAGGTTGGACTAGACTGCTCAAAGGACGGCCTTTCGCCATTTCGGCCACTTCTCTTCGCCCCAACGCTAGGAAATCTGGACTCACCAGCTTGATCGGCTTCACGGCTTCACGGCCAAGAGCCCCTGATCTATTACCCAGCTATCGACGATGAACCTCTAGTGGAGTGGCCTGACGTAGATATCCTCCGCACAGAGTCGCCGCTGATTTCAGTATAAAAGCAGCTGCTCTCCATTGACTCTCTGCTTTGATTCTTCTGTAGAATAGACATCACACCTCCCTCATCTTGTAATAATACACCCTTTGTTTTTTTCTCTTACTCCAAAGAACATGACAGTCAACGGACACACTCCCTACGGTGGACCCTATGGGCGTCGCCTCTATGTAAATGTCGTTGACGAGACCGCCAAAGCTGATCCCGATCGAACGTGGATCTATGCGCCACGTTCCTCGGATCCGCGGGATGGCTGGAAAGCCATTACTTGGCAGCAGCACGCCAACGCCGTCAACCGCACAGCCAATTGGCTGGTTGAGAAACTCGGCAAACCGAAACCAAAGTCCTTTCCCAGCCTTGCCTATGTTGGTCCAAACGATGCCCGATATTTAATTCTTTTTGCCGCAGGCGCGAAAGCAGGTTATCAGGTTAGTTATCAATTTTAATAGCTCTTTCTTTCCTTTTTTTTTCTTTTCTTTTCCCTTTTCTGTTTCTTTCTCTTTGGTGCTGCGGCTCTTGCTAACATGGTGGCCCCAGATCATGTTCCCTTCTCCACGCAACAACACCGACAGCCAAGTGTCTCTGCTTCAAGTGACAAAATGCCAGAAACTATTGTATGGCAAAGAGTACTCTAAAAGAATTCAACCTTGGTTGCACGAGTCCGGTGTCGGAGCGTTGGAGATGTTGGGGCTGGATCAAGTATTGAACGATGAGCCTGCCCCAGTGCATCCATACAACGAGACATTCGAGTCGGCTGCATTCGATCCCGTCGTAATCCTGCACACGAGCGGCAGCACCGGCACTCCAAAACCAATCTATTGCAAGCAAGGTCTTTTTGCGTCGGCCGACAACTATCACAATTTCCCAGAGTATGAAGGCTTTACCTTTATCATGGAGGCAATGGCAACCTTGTCGAAAAACACATACTGTCACCGTGCGTCTTGCCTTGCCGTCATTTCCGTGTTTCTACTAATGATTGATTCAGTGCCATTATTCCACGCATTTGGTCTATACTGCTTCGTCAACATCTCAGGATTCTGGGGCAAGCCGATGAGCCTGGCTATCGGCGATAAGCCTCTGACTGCCGAAAACGTCGTTGAAGGCTACGAGGCTGCCGGATGTGATGCTTTGGTTCTTCCACCGTCTATTGTGGAAGATATATCGAAGCTCGATGGCGGTGTAGAGAAACTCAAACAGCTAAGTTATGTCATGTGTGGCGGAGGCAAGTAACCTTTCTGTCAGTGTATGACTCATGGGCTCAGGACTGACGTTTTCGTTTAGGAGGCATCTCGCCAGATGTCGGCAACGACATCACGTCCAAGGGCGTCAAGCTCGCCAATTGCATTTCCAGCACAGAGTAAGTCTAGAAGCATCGCACGCAACATAATCTCCGAGGGCTTACACCATTAGGTACCAAATCTATCCCCTGTACTGGCAGACCAATTACCAAAACTGGGACTGGTTCATTCTCGACAATGAGCAGTTTGGCTGCCGATATGACCACGTCGAGGACAACATCTACGAGCAGACCATTGTCAGAAAGGAGCCTTTTCAGCCCATCTTCTACACTTTTCCAAACGCGACCGAGTACAAGACGGGCGATCTATTCGAGAAACATCCGACGCTGCCAGGTCACTGGCGCTCCCAGGGCCGGGTAGACAACATTATTGTCTTTAGCAATGGTGAGAAGCTGAATCCCGTTAGCATCGAAAACACCGTCACTCTGCACCCCGACGTTCGTCAGGCGCTGGTTGTTGGCCACGGTCAGTTCCAAGCTGGCATGATTTTGGAACCTGCGCAATGGCCGCTGGACAGTGCACAGAAAGAGGCGCTCATCGAAAGGGTCTGGCCAGTCATTGAAAAGGCCAATGCAGCGACCGTAGAGCACGGCCGCATCGCTCGGCATCTCGTCACCCTGTCGGATCCTGACAAGCCTTTTCTCTACTCCGCCAAGGGCTCACTGCGACGCGGCGCGGTTCTCAAAATGTATAAAAAGGATATTGAAGCCCTTTTCTCGGCACAAGAAGTAATCAAGCCGGCTCAGCTCAACACTGCCACACTGGAGAGCCTGACCGCCAGCGTTCGGTCTCTGTTCAACTCGGTCTCGCCCGGAGGCACCATCGAGGATGAGGACGACTTTTTTCTGCACGGCATAGACTCTCTGCAAGTCATCAACATTGCCAAGAGAATTGCGGCGGGCTTGAAGGCTGCTGGCGTCGCCGAGGACCGGGCGGTTCTCGCACCGCGCGACATTTACGCAGAGAGCACCATCTCCAAGCTGGCCAGCTTCTTGTTCAGTCGCATCCACGGCACGCAGAGCAATGGTGTGCATAGCCAAGAGGAGATTCTTCAAGCCCTGGTGGACAAGTATAGCGCCGGTCTGGCGAAACGCAGCGACACCCGGCCTCCTGCCAAGTCTACAGGCAAGACTGTGCTTCTGACTGGCTCGACCGGGAGTCTCGGGTCCTACTTTTTGCATTTCCTGATTCAGGACCCGGAAGTGGCAAAGATCATCTGTCTTAATAGATCCGAAGACGGTGGACGAGCCAAGCAATTGGAAGCCAATAAAGAGCGTGGCTTGTCTACCAATCTTGACAAGGTCGCATTCTTCCATGCCGATCTCTCACGCCCCGACCTGGCACTCGAAACAAATGATCTCGTGCGACTACAGGAGTCTGTTGATCTCATTATCCATAATGCTTGGCCGGTCAACTTCAACATCTCAGTGCAATCGTTTGAAGGCCACATTCGCGGAGTGCGTCACTTGATTGACTTTGTGCAGAATACCGCTGTCAAGGCCTCAATCACCTTTATTTCCTCCATTGGAACCGTGGATAAATGGTCCGAGGCGTCGCCCATCCCAGAGACAAACCTGACCGATCTCAACCTTGCGGCCATGGGCTATGGCCAGTCCAAGCAAGTGAGCAGTATTGTCCTAGACACTGCCGCAAAGGTTGCCGGGATCCCTGCTGCCGTCGTTCGTCTAGGCCAAGTCGCAGGGCCGACGACGCAGCTGGGCTCCTGGAACGCCCACGAATGGCTTCCGACCATCATCGACTCTTCCGTGCAGCTGGGCTCCTTGCCGGATACCCTCGGCAGCATGCAGGTCGACTGGGTGCCCGTCGACAAGGTAGCGCGCACCATTCTCGACATGGCAGCCTATACCACCACCAGCACTACCGACTTTACCAGCGGCGCCAAATTCTTCAACCTCGTCAACCCAAAGACGACGCCCTGGTCGGCCATCGCACCCGCCGTCGTCGACTTTTACGAGCAAAGAGGAAAGAGGCTGCAACTCGTGAGCTTTGCTGAATGGATCAAGGCTGTCGAGGACGCCCCGGCCTCGTCCAAACTCCCGGCAGTAAAGCTGCTGGACACGTACAAGGCAATGGATGAGAGTGGCAAGAATGGTTCTATTGCAAGGTTTGCGACAGACAAGGCACAGGTGGCAAGCAAGACGTTGGCGAGTATGGGGGCAATTACACCAGAACTCATGGCGCTGTGGTGCAAGCAGTGGAATTTTTCTACTTAGACTGCTTCTTTTTCTATTTTCTTGAGTTTGTTAGTATCGTTTCGATAGATGAAAATATTTAGACTTTGAACATTGTGCACAGTTTTCAGCATTCAAGTCGCGGCCCTGGTGTTAACGTAATCCCCATCAATAGGCGGTATGCACTTGTTTAATGGCTTTAGACCAAGTGATATTATTTAAAGGCTATGCCTTTTATAAATGGACTGACTGAATGCACCGAATTGTTGTTACCGCTGATCCCTGGCTAACCCGCTATATCCATCGTACCCTGGACCCTCGGTCTCTAGCCGGATCGCCATCGTATCACGCAGAAAAGAAAGCGAGGCGGGCTGATTCCAGGTTCATCATCGTCGTCCCGAGATATATATGTAAATTGGTCGAAGACTCTAAAAGATGAGCCACTCTACATTTTGTGGCAATTTTTTCTCTCTCAACATATAGCTACAGCGACCAGATCGCTGTATTATAAGGGCTCCATTATCCAGGCTCTGGGGCAATTATAAATCGATAATTAGGCGATGCATTATTACTTGGAGCTGATGCATATTACTCCCGCCCCAGGCACCTCACTAGCCCGCTCTGTTTAAATAATGCTTCAAATCGGGGCTCTCGTAGACGGAACGGGTTCCCCTCGGCCATCCCATTGGCCTCGTCGATGCGAACCGCGCAAGGCGGCCACCGCCTAGCCACGACTTAGATTGCACCCTCCAGATAGTTTGGGGTCAATTGTCACTTTCCTTTCCCAGTACGTAATACTGGGTCAACCGGCTTGGGCCGGACGAGAAGCGAGGGCCCCTAGTTTGTCCAACCAACAACGTGGCTTGCAAATAGTCTGCAGGGGCTTATGCAGGGGAAATTACGCATACCGTAAGGCTCAGCCTGGTCAAAGTGAAGAAAACTTGCAAACCACTCCCAGACATTCCAGGGATTCTATTTTCGACAACTACTGTTGTCTCACTTGGTTTGCATGTCAAAGAACTCGGGCTGGACACTGCATCGACCGAGTCTCAAACTTGCACCAGCTACTGCTACAGACGATCTTTGTCACTTACAGCGGGCAGGAAGAAATTCCAGTATACCGCTTTTGGTGGACACTTTCTTTCCGATAATATCGGCAATAATTTGTCTTCAAAGTGGGCGCCGCAGCCCCGATGGAAGCTGCCAGTCGAGAAGGAGCCCTAGTCACCAATATGCTGCGCCCGTAGGTACTTCGCTTGCCTAGATAGAATCAAGCAGGGTTTGGCTTGATAAACTGTCTCGGGCAAGCCCTTCCTGACAGCATTGATGAATTGGCTAGCGCAGTCACAACTCCGCCTACAGCCTTATTGCAACCAGCCTTCACTCAGGTACTTCTCCACACGGCCATCGCTGAGTGGTCTTTTTGCGGAATCCCTCGTCACAAATGCGGTTTCTGCGCCGGCCCTTGCTGCTCAACCCGGCATGGCTTATCCGTAATGAAGAGGGCACCTTTGTGTGATGTGGCTCACAGAGGCTTGTAGGATTCTGGCAGTGGATGTGGCGACGAATTAGCTTCAGGGTACTGCTTGCCAATTTCTGCAGCTTGTTGAGTTGGACGCCTTGATTGGCTCCATGTGCGGGCAAACGTGCCTCATCATCCCAAGGTCCCATCATATCCTGGGGGCATTAGATGGAAGAGGCGTGACTTGGGCCCCCGGCCTGACTTAAGCAGACATTTCCCCGTCTCGTGCATGTTGGCATCGAAAGGGGAGAGTGCTTATACTTAATGAAACGAGCCGCGCCTCCGGGCTTTCTTTCCTTTCAACCAACTCAAGTTTCCCTAGTTGCTTACTTTCTTCTGAGCTTGTTCGAGCTCGTCCACTGACGTATCGCACGTCGTCCACATTCGTTTTCCTTCGTTATTTTTGCTCACTTGTATTCACTCTTTTACGCAACATGGGTCCTCTTACCACCACTCTGGCCGTGCTGTTGGCCGGCGCCAGCACAGCTTCTGGCACCGTCTTCTCCTTAACGGAGACGTACGATGTGACCAACTTCTTTGAAAAGTTTGAGTTCTTCGAGGTATGGACTGTCCCTGATCCAACAGATGAACCCTGCAACCAACTCAAGCTTTACAGAGCAAGTTCGGCACCGGGAACTCCAATGCACAAGATCCCAACGGGGGTTTTGTCAACTACAAGAGCCGCGATGCCGCCATTGCAAGTGGTCTCGTCAGCAATGACACGGGTGACGTCTACATTGGTGTCGACTCTGTGAACAAATGGTGGTCCCCGGACGGCCGCCCCAGCATCCGTCTCGAGTCAAAGAATGACTACACCAAGGGTCTCTTCATTGCTCGCTTCAACCACCTGCCCAAGACAGCTTGCGGTGCGTGGCCAGCATTGTAAGTAATTAGATCATCCATACAGTTCCCGTTCGCGAGCCCGCTAACCCTACCGTAGCTGGACTTACAGCAAGGTTGGCGATTGGCCCGATGGTGGTGAGATTGACATCTACGAGAACTGGAACCTGGCTACCTATAATCGCCCTACAGTCCACACTGGCGACATGGGTGTAGTCGGTCGCTGCAAGATAGAATCACCCGGTGTCACTGGTTCGCTTCTGCGATCTGACTGCTCCCATGAACAATACAACCTGGGCTGCAATGTCATGGATACTAAAGGACCATGGGGCTCCTCCGTGGGCGGTGTTTGTGAGTCCTTTCGTGCGACTCCCTGTTGAGAGTTACTAACCTACTTTTACAGATGCCATGGAGTGGACCGACAGCTACATTCGCATCTTTACCTGGGCACCAGCCGATGCTCCTAGCAACATCGACTCGGCGCACCCTGATACTGCCGCCTGGGGCAAGCCTGTCATGGAGCTTCGCGACGGCCCCTGCAACCTCAAGAGACAGTTTGCTCCCCAAAAGCTCATTCTCAATATTGACTTTTGCGGTTCCGCTGCTGGTCAGCCTAAAATCTGGGGGGAGGAATGCCAGGCCTTGACTGGTGAGACGGAGTGCTACGACTACGTACGCAACAATCCTGGGGCGTACAAGGACGTCTACTGGAGGGTCAAGGATATCCGCTACTTTGAGGAGGGCTCCAAGCCGGATCCTACCTCGTCGTCAACCACGACAACATCCACGTCTAGCACGACCAGCGTCACGACATCCTCGTCAGTATCTTCCTCGGCCAATTCCACTTTTACTTCTAACTCTTCCAGCAGCGGCCCTAGCTCAAGCTCCAATAGCTCATCAACCACCGTGCCAACCTCGTTGTCCTCGGTGATTTCTTCTGTTGCCACCTTCTTCCCCAACTCTTCTGTTACTTCAACCTCATCTTCTGCTGTTTCTATCACTACCAGCAGCTCATCCTCGTCGGGCTCGTCCGCTCATCTGACCACGTCGTCGCAGGAGTGGACGACCTCAACCGTCTACACGACGCGAACCTACACAATCACCAGCTGTGCCCCCACCGTCACCAATTGCCCCGGCAAAGGCCACGTCGTGACCGAGACGATTCCGCTGTACACCACAGTGTGCCTCGTGACCCCTACGGCTACAACTACAGCTACAGCCACTTCATCGCATTCGGTCAGCGCTCCCGGCCAGCCCGAGACCAGCATCACCAAGGTGACCAAGACCTACACCATCACCAGCTGTGCCCCGACCGTCACCAACTGCCCCGTCGGCAGGGTCACTACCGAGGTCGTTACCAGCACCATCTGCCCGGAATGTACCACCAACAATACCAAGAAGCCCAGCACATCCGCCGCCGACACGGGCTGCCATGGTGACAACTGCGCTTCGGGCGTTGCCCTGCTGATTGAGCAATCCGCGAGCATCATTGCTCCCTCATCATCAGTCGCCACGGCCTCCAGCAGCATCCAGCAGCTGCCATCTACCAGTGTGTCCACTGGCAAGTCCGGCGCCGTCACGTCGGCACCATCTCCGGTCGCTTCGACAGGCATTGCCTCGTCCGGCACCCACCAGCCAACCACCAGCAAGCCTACCGGCAGCCAGAGCCAGGTCCCTGTGACTGCTCTTGCCAGCCCAAGCAAGTCTGTATCTAAAGCAGTCGCTCTGCTCGCGGGTACGCTGTTCGCCGCTCTCTTCTTGTAGCGTGCAGAATGAATTGATGCGGGTGATGTTTGTCGCATGAGCCAGCTCCGGGTTGTACTCTTACCATATTCTTCTTCACGATATATTAACATGTTACATTACTTTGATGAACTGATGGACAATGTTGGACCACGCGCACTTGTGCCGACCAACCCTGTGATGTAGCCTCATATAGCTTCACTTATTTCATGGTAATTTTGTTACATTGGGTATATGCGCTGATCGTTTAGATACACCCGATGGAGTTGGGCAACAAGTGTTGTTTTTTTCGCGTGTAACTTGTCAGCTTACACCAAGGCGCCTCTACACAACACGTGGGAGACGCCGCCTATTGGCCATTAGACGTCTATAGTAACATGCATGTGCATAACCTCATTTCCAGAACTATAGCCTATGAAAATTGCATTCAAGCCTAGCCTCGGACCTTGAAAGGGTGCGCCTCCGTGTTAAAGACAAACTGGTTGCGGCCATCAGCCTTGACCTGGACCGGAGTGTCGTCGACGAAGATGAGATACAGGTACTTGAGAGTTTCCGCCAAAAAGAAAGACTGCTGAAAGTCGTCGAAGCCGCCACCGTTGGCCTTGGTGACGTCGCGTATGCCCGAGTAGCCACTGCCAGCGCGACACTTGCTGACGATGGCGTTGAACCCCTTCCAGGCGAGGTCCTGGTACTTTTTATCGCCGGTGGCGCGGTAGGCGTAGTATAGTGACTCCACGGTTTCGGGTCGCAGGATGTAGTCGGCGCCGTCGACCCAGAAGCCAGCCTTGGCGTAAAAGTCGGCTTGGTCAGCGGGAGGCTGTCGGCCGTTGGGGTTGGCGGCGTCGACCCAACGAAAGGTTTCGGGTCCGATGCCGCTAGTCGTCGCCGTGTAGGTCTCAAAATACGACTCGGCGAGCTCGATGCCGAATCTGGTGTACTTGTCCTCCTTAAGAACGAGTCCGGCGAGGATAAAGTTGCCACCGGCAAAGCTAGTCACTGGATCATTGCATCAGTGTCTTGCATTAACTGGCCTACAGTCCGCTCTACTTACAGTGGCCAGTGACTGATTCTGTGGTCTGGCCGTTGAACTGGTTGAGGAAGGTGAGATTTTTTCGGGAGGTCGGGTGCGAGGCGAGGTGCTCGATGGTGGAGTCGGCGGCGGCGATCCAGCGGTCACGGTAGAGGCCGTAGCTCTTGGGATCGTAGACGTACATCTTGATGAGATACTCGTAGAAGCTGTCATCACCTCCAGACCAGCCGCCATGGCTGTTGAGGAACGAGCCGTCTTTGGTGCTAATGTCAGTACCGACCAGGCCGGGCCAAGCCTCAGGGCTGCCTTTGGGCGCGAGCAAGTGCGCCTCGCACCTGTCAGCGAGCTTCGCGTACTTTGGATTACCGGTCAAATCGCTGAGGCGCGTCCACTCGAGGATCAAGGTGCCAACCTCGGCCAAGTTGCTGCTAGAGCGGCCGCTGATACTTCGCGTCGGGTTCAGCACCAGATAGCCGTCAGCGATGCCGCTAGGCGTGTCAAAGGCGAAGCTTAACGTGTCGGCCAGGCTGGCGGCCTGGGTAAGCAGAGCGTCGACCTTTTTGGGGTCGTTGGCCAGGCGCTTGTAAGGGCCCTTGAGCAGGTCATAGGCTGGAACAAGAAAAAGTTAGGGGCGGTCACTGTGCGGACAATGGGGGTGGCGTGCATACCACTGAGAAGACCGCCCAGATAGCGAATGGTAGTTTCAAAGAGGGAAATGGTTTCGTACTGCTTGCGTGTGGTCGTGAAATTGACACTGGGGATAAAGTCGAGGATGGTGTTGACAATGTCCTTGTCGTTCATGACAATGGCAGTGTCAAGCGAATCAATCGGGGTGAGACCCCACTGAGCTCTACAAAGTGTTAATTGGCGGCAATTTCGCGGTAGTGATGCTGTTCTCGTACCGATCGTCCTCATATGTGTTGCTGATCGGACGGAGCGTGTCATGAGGCCAGGCATTTTTGTAGTAGCCAGACCAGGCAGTCTGGAAAGCAGCGCGGACAGCGGTGGCACGGGCGCGGTCCGGAGCGGGAGCTCGCTTCTCGCTAGCTGGTAAGGCGATAGCCTGGCCAAGCATAGCAGCAAGCAGGCAGGCAGAGATCTTCATGGTGAAATCGCTAAACTCTATGGAGGGAGGGCAATTCCATCTAGGAGGAGCTTCGTCACCAAGGGGGCGTGCGGGTGGGCGCACCCAGCTTTATTTGGCTCCCGCCGCTCTCGAGAAGCCTGCCGGAACCGTTTCTCTGTTCTGCTCTGTTTACTCCGCACGAAGAAAAGGGCTGCTAATCAAGGTAGCATCGTCCATCATTTGGGCAAGATGCGTTGTAACCTGCCAAAGGGCTGGTGATGGAATACGACCCTACAAGCGGCTAGAGGAGTGCAGATCGGCCTGGGAGATTGCCCGGAAAGGCATAATCCGCCGTAGAACAAAGAGCATGTCTCGTTTTCACGAGCGGGGAAGGGAGGAGACGAAGGGAGGTAGTCAGGTCAGTGGTTGGAAAAAAAGGCTGTTAGCAATGGCCAAGAGCTGCTAGAACCGGACAAGTGTGGCTTCGTCTCGGCCCTATTTCATCGGGCATCGGTTGGAACGGTAGGGGGGACGCTGGCATCGAGGTGAAGAAAGACTCGCGAGTTGCTGGCATTGTACTCTGTACGCGATACCAAGAGCTCGTCTTTGTTGTCTGTTATTAGTCGGTCAATGATGTTAGTCGGTTAATGAGGACTTTCGGCGAGTAAGCTTTGGCGAAGCGAATCTATGTATTGCCACTGCCACTGCCACTGCCACAGTGAGGCTGGGTCTTGCTTGCCCTGAGACAGCAGCCATGGTTCTTGAGAAGAGGCGGGTGGCTGGCCCAGGCGGGTGAGGCTGGCCGGGGTTGGGATGCGGGGTTGGCCGGGAAGCTCGGTACGGAGATACATTGCCGAGAGACGGCTTGGCGAGAATCAGATGACGTGATTCCGTGATTCATCAGGAAAACTATCACGAGCCTTTGATTAGGATGGGCTGGTGTTTACTAATTATTGTTTACTAATCATTGATAAAGTCACTGGTCAATTATTGTCGCTATTGCTGGATGAGCCGTTCACATTGAGCGCACGGACAAAGACAAATAGGCAAGACATATTCTAGATGCATACTTGGGCCTCAAGTCGTCATCGGCAAACTATCATGTCTCTTATGATATTCGTTGAATGCTGTCACTTTTCTCCCGCATTGTCAAGCAACGACTTACACTGCACAGGCGGCGCTACCCCAGACCGGAGATGCACACGCAAGAACGACCGGCACGCTTGGAGTAACGGGATTTTTATGTTCTCTTTGCTCCTCTAGATCTATCGCGTTATTTTTGCCCCATATAAGTTGCAAAGTGCATGAATCTGAAAAGAGAATGCCTCACCCCCCCTTCGAAAACAGTCGAATTTATAGAGATGGCGAGAGACGAACTCGTGTATCTAAGAGATGGACCCCCACCATACGCGGGTTCATGGATTTGTCCGCACTAGGCTAATAAGAGACGAATGAGACGCAAGCAAAAACGATTGTTAGGCAGGTGTCCAGGCGTCGGGCTGGGCCAACTGTGAAGCCTTGAGCAAGTGGACGGGAGCGGAATGAAGCGGGAAGGCGCACATGGGAACGGAAACGACAATAGGAGGATCACTGCGAGTTGGTATGCTTTACCTTGAAAGAAGTAATGGGATTCAGAAAACCATGGCTTGGCAGGCGCACTAAGAAAGTGTCACTGTGAGGTTTGTACAAGACGAGCGGCGCGCGCATTTGATATGGCTTTGGATGAGCCGGAGAAAATAGGCCGAAAGAATAGAATATATGAGACAAGATAAGATAATCACTACAGATTAGTGCTTTACTAGGAAATCTTCCGAGATCGGGTACATAGGTAGGCACTCGTGGCATTAATTAACAGTTAAGGGTAGCCATTACGGAGCCTTTCACTAGCGCTCCCTAAATAACTTGTAAGTAGTAGCAGAGAGATTTTAGCTCAACAGCTAAGAATAGCAGATAACTATAGTAGGTCATAAGTAATTCCGCTTATAACCCTAAATCCTACTAAAATACTTACTTTTAAACTACTACTATTATAAAAGTTAATATTTAAAATTATTTTTTTTAAATTATAATTAAATTTTTTAATAATTTTAAAATATATATAATTTTTTATAAAGTTTAATTAATTTATAATATTTAAATTAAAACTTATAAAAATTATATTAATATTTTTTTTAATATTTTTTATTTTTATAAAATATTTATTAATAAAAATTTAATATTTAAAACTTTATTAATATTTTAAAATTATATATTATTTTATATTTAAATCTTTAATATTTAATATAAGATTTATTTAATTACTTATATAATAAAATATTATTTAAGAAGTTAATATTTAAGTAAGATTTATGGTTATAAGCGAAATTACTTAGATGTACTGTATTTACCTAGGTAGCTACCTGCTTTGAGCCCCACCAGGATTGGCCCATCATAGTATTCGTTCTCCGTAACTTGGATCATTCATCTGTGTTCCCACGGGGCGCAAGAACTCCTCCTTTCAGCCACCAAATGCCCGGCACGGCACGACGTCTTTTCTGCTCGGTTGTGTGGCGAGCTTCTCGAATAGCACGGCCTCAGTTAGTACCAGTCTCGCTAACCATTGGCTCAGCGAGTCGCGTTGCGGCTCACCGATTCCACAACTTGGCAGCCATGTCCGCGGAGCCGAAATACCAATGGATCGACGGGGCTGAGCATCTCCCCAATTATTCGCCTGGAGGCTATCACCCCGTAGAGATTGGGACCGTTCTGAATGGCAGGTACCGCGTGATAGACAAGCTTGGCTACGGGGGCTGGTCAACGGTATGGCTCGTCCACGATGCCCAGCAAACGCGATACCTGGCGCTCAAGGTGGGCATCGCTGAGTCTCTCCCCAGAGAGATTCCTATTCTCCGCGCACTTGGTGCACCCGGAGATGTGCCCGGCTCAGACGCGGTTCCGCACCTTCTTGACGAGTTTACCGTCGAGGGCCCCAACGGAACGCATCCCTGCTACGCGATCGCACCTGCCCTGACCAACCTCAGAGACACGTCCTTCAGCCGCCTGTTCCGAATCGACGTTGCTCGTGCGCTATGTTACGAGCTTACGCTCGCCCTGGCGTTCGTGCACTCGCGAGGAATTGTCCATGGAGGTGAGTGACGACAACCTAGCCTTCGCCGTCTGCCCTTGAGAGCCGCCACTAACAACAGTTGGCCTTTTCAGATATACATCTTCGAAATATACTAGTTCGCGCGCGCGACAGCTTCGATAATCTGACCGTTGCCCAGTTCCGCGAAAAATTCGGCGAGCCCGACGTATACCCGGTAACCAGGATCGATGGCGAGGACCTGCCCCCAAACGTGCCCAGCACCGCCGTTGTGGCTCTAGAAATGGGCAAGAAAGCCCAAGACTTTTCGATACAAGATGCGCGTTTGATGCTAAGCGACTTTGGAGAATCGTTCATCCCCGCAAGCGAAGTTCGCCTTGGGAAGGATTGTCATACGGTCTTTGACTCTCGCCCGCCAGAGGCTTATTTTGAGCCTGATGCGCCTATGTCTTTTCCAGCGGATGTCTGGAGCCTAGCCATTGCCATCTGGGATATCATAGGCATGCAGCCGCTATTCAGTAGCGCGTTCTATTCTGAAGACGCGGTCCGGTGCCAGATTGTCGACCAGTTGGGCCCAATGCCCCCCGAGTGGTTTCAGAAGTGGCCAGAACGTGGCCATTTTTTTGACGAGCAAGGCCAGCCCATCGATGGCCGACGCCCGTGGCCAGGGATAGAGCAGGCTTTTGAAGACTGTGTGCAATCTTTCAGGCGGCAGGACGGCATGGGTGTATTTTGTGACGAGGAATCGGCGGCGCTCCTCAACCTTCTCAGGAGAATGCTAGCATACAAGCCCGAGCAGCGACCGACTCTGCAGCAAATAATCACGTCTCAATGGATGAGCGTGTGGGCAAGGAAGGACTATGAGCAAAGCAGACGTTTGGATTCCTAAAACTAAACGCATTTGGCATTCTAAATGCTAGACTTTACCTGACCCATTGTAGACAGAGTAGGCTTTCCCGTGCCCTATTTCTTGGAAGACGGGTCGGTAAAATGCGAGTATGCGATGGGGCTATTCTCATACTCATCCAGTTGCGACTCGTCGGGCCACACAACCTTGCCAGATCCGACTGGACCGCGGGGGGTGTCGTCCCTTTTCGCCGCAGTATGGGTTCCATGATCGAGCACATAGTCTTGCTGTCCATTGGTGTATCCGTGAGAAGCAACGTGAAACCCCTGTGCCTCCAGCTTCTGGTCCTTGAAGGCCATGGTCAAATGCCAGCCGTTGGGATCTATGACATGCTTGCCCGCTCTGCTGGTGGTTCTGTGCAAGCCGGCACTGTCGCTCGCGTTAGCATCAGCTCAGTGCTTTGTCGAGTATTGTTTGTCTTGTTTTGCGTTGCTTTAGATATGCTGCGTGGGGTAGCTTACCGTATGAGAATCATGCTCGGAGCAAGCTTGAGTTCCCGGGCTGTGGCGTAAGCAAGCGCGACGGCTTGCTGCTTGGCTTTATCATCCAATTTGTATCCTTTATAGAAAAAGTACCGCACGAAATTCGCACCACCCTGAGACGCCATAGTTTTGATAGGAAAGAAATGAGATATCCGACTCGCTAGATTGAGGTAATACGTATAGAAAGGAGAGATTCTGAAAATCTGCCATTGCTTGCCTCCTTTTGTAGCCGCCGACATGCAGACCCCGCCCGCACATAGCACCATTGGACCGCTCTTCATCAGGCCACCGAGGATTTCCAGCGGTTAGAGCTCAGCCAACCATGACTTATTACTTGAGCTCATCTCAAGAGTAATGAAACGGAACGAAGGTGCTGTCTCGTCGCCTCACCGTCCTGCGAATGGGGGTGCAGCTGTGGCGTAAGTTGAGAGAACACAGCTAAGCACACATCTGTGGTACGAGAAAGCGGCGACAAGATGAAATTGCATGTCCTCATACAAAAATCATTAAATCTGCGCACAATATGTTGGATTTGTTCGTACTCATGATAGCGTTAGTTGTCAGGGAGAGGGCTCGTAATTTCTGATGCGGTCTTGAGTAATAAAGGGGCTGTTGCACAGAACTACCAGTCACGCGAGAGAACCGGTTGATGCATAGGATGGGAATCTGCAGAGGAGTTCACACTAATGAAGCTAACTACAGTGGGTCTAGGTAATTCCGCTCATGACCCTAAATCTTACTAAAATACCTACTTTTTAAATAATATTATAAGTATATTAAAAATATAAATAAATTATGAAATATATAAAAATAAAAAGTTAAATAATATATAATTTATAATTTTTTAAAAACTTTTAAATATTAAATATAATTAACTAATATAGTTGGTAACCGGAAAACGGGGTTTAGGTAAGTTACTAAACCCCCTTT